GTATATGTACGTAACACCAGGCGATTCGTGCGAACGTGTTCATCGCGGGAGACAATGTTCATGCTTGTTGATCGATTACGGCGCGTCGGCGCGACGCGAATCGCCCGTCGATTCTTACGCGCGCACCTTGTTTGTACACCGGCGGCATCGCCCTTTCTCACGGAACAATTCCTCGCGAGGTCGCGCGGTGGAACGAAAACACGTGTGTGGAATTTCTAGTGCGGGCCCGCCGACGCAAAAATTCTCAACCTCGGTTTGTCCCCGTGTAGAATTCAGCGCGCGATCGCAGGCGCGCTCTGCCCTTCGCGCGCGAGCGCCGTTCTCCCATATAAGGGATCTCGGGGTTCGCGCAAGGCAGCAGCTTTTGCGGGATCTCTCTCCTTCGGTAGCGGCCGACAAAAGTTGCAGCGCGCATTCGCTTTTATTTGGTTAACGCTTCGTTCGTTCGTGCGACGACCCGTCGCGATCGCTCGGCATCCGCATCGGCGGCGGTGCAACGTAATGTTACACACCGGCGATACGTAGGTGAGATACACGTGTAACGTATAATCCAACGCGTTAAAAGAATGGTGGGTTAGAGTTGAAACACAATGCGGTACGGTATTATATGATTTCCACAGGGGTCGTACAAAGGGAGGCGATGAGTAGGCCTGGAACAATGGTAACTACCAATTTGATCCTAATTGTCAGCTGAGCTTCTATTCACGGGAGGAGCAACGTCTCCCGATAAAATTCTGTTTTCAGTTTAAACGATAATTAATTAAAAAATGATAATAAAAATCTTGACTTACTACACCAAGTCCTTCTCGCGCGAAACAACATTTTTGAAAATACATTTATCTGTAGAGGCTGTCGCGATATAATTAGGAAAGATATAACGTAAAAGTCATCCGCAGATGCTAGTGCGACAGGACCGTTCGAAGCCATCCTGAAACGTCGCTTATATCTATCTGCCATTTCGTAACACGACAGGTGTAATAATGACTGAGACAGTCAGAAGTAGCTATGAAACGGACGCGACTTTTATGGCAGAGAACTGTTAGAAGCTTGTGTCTTAAATGTGGTGTTGCGCGATGACTTAACGCCGTTGAATAATTAAGAAAAAAAAAGGAAACATTTTATGCGCCATAAATACTGCTTCGCCGTCGTGCTATCGACAGGCGACTTTTATGAAATTTAAGATTTCGTTCGCTAATAATGGCGCAAAAAGTCGTGACAATTGATTTATGCATGATTTATCGTGTAATGCATAAATACGCTAATGCCGACCCATGTCGGCTTAATCGATAAATTAGCAGCTGTGTGGAGATGAATGTGAGTCAAACGGGTGTAACAGATGTTACCTCGATACTCTAGTACTTCAGTTTATTATAATTCCATTACCTCGCTTTCGGAACGATGAACGATCTCTTTTAGCGGTTGATTGAAAAACTACTGGGATTATAATTTAAAATTACTATAATCGTCACAACGTTGCTATAATTACCGAGGCTAGGCCTAATTGCAGAGATCCCGAAATCGAGGCACTAATTTTCGTATTGCCTTCCGCACCTGTACCCCAGATGGAAAAAGGTTCGACGACCGATCGCCCGAGCGTCCAAGAACGAATTCTTTGGACTCACTGCGTGTAGTTTAACGTGACGTGGTTCCGACTGAGTGATCTCTTAAGGTTACAACCGCGAGATTCCTCGGGTCGGGGATTCGAGCTCGGCAAGAAAGGAGCCGTTATTTTTCGAGGATTCTCCGTCTTTTCCCAGGTCACGGTCGGATGCAACCTCGCGGAGATATTCTCGGCGAGTCTCTTTATCTCGAGATGAACTGACATTCACCAGCGACGAATTTACGTCGTTTGTCGTCGACATAAATTCTTGGCTTTTCTAAACTTCCTGCGGCGCGGTCATACAAATTAACATGCAAAGCTAAAGACCGAAGTAATTAAGAAAGTAAAAATCATGTCCGATTACGGTGTGCATAAGTTACTATAGTAATTATAATTGCAAGCAGCGCTGCAGTCTTTACATATACTTAAATGAATAGATTTTATTATATATTATGGATATATCTGAGGCCCCCGTAAGGCCGCGATTTCAGCAAAGGGGCACAAGACGCACAATAAATATTGCAAATCGCAACGCGCATTTATATCGTTACACGAACGTTTCTATGTTCGCCAATTTAAATTCCGCTTAGCGCGCCTCTTGACCCGCGGGCATATCTGATAAGCCCACGCGCATAATTTAAAAGAAGAGGGCAACCCTCCTTCAACCCTCCCTCCCTCTCGCGCGTTCACAAGACGCAGTGACGCGCGAATAATTTAATAACACATGCTCCCGAGCCGGAGCGCATCTTCGCGAGCCCTCTCGCACTACGTCGGCGCACGACGAGTACGCGAGGGGGCCTAACATCGTGTTTGTGGAAGGTATAATTGATGCAGGACCAGCCGGGGGATCGCGTTTGCCCTTAAGAGTTTGGAACTGGGTGGAGAAAATATAGGTTGTCTTCGTTACCCGGCCTTTGGTGCGCGCCCGGTCGCCCGCGGTGCAACACGAGGATGATATATTCGCTGCAACTGCAGCTGCGCTGCGCCGCGCCGCGCCGCGCCACGCCACGCCACGCCGCGTCGCACCGCACCGCGCCACACCGCACCGCATCATCGCATCGCATCGCGCTAGTCGAACGACCATGCCGCGTCGGTCGTTTCGTGAGATTTCGAAACTGCCCTGCTCCGTAGGCACTGCCCCGCGAAAACAATGAAGCATCTTCTTTCGTCAAGCTGTGGGTGGACACGCGGTTTTTTAATATATACAATCGGTGCCGAGCGTCGAGTTCATAAGTCGTCTTCACTCAACTCCGTTTGTTCTTTGGGATAATGAAATCAAAAAATCAAATGAGATGCCGTAAAGAGAACATCTTTTTATAATATAACTTGATTACGAATATAATTTATAACGTGAATTTAGATAATTTTACAATAATTTAGATTGCAGTTGTCAGTAAGTGCAGAGATTACGTGGATCAAAGGAATAGGATGTGTATAGCGAACGATAGATGAGCGGAAATGTGGAATTAATCTTACTCTTAATAACTAGTTTCGGGTTTAGATAATAATGTTTAGATGGGAATCCGTGATTTTTCTACGTCGGACAAAGCGGCCGTACGTAGCTCAGTTTCACAGCGCGAACAGTTTCTTGCGCGTCGTGTGAATGACTTAACTAATTAGCGTTTTGCGCGAGGCGACCGTGAAGAGGCGGCTCTTCTTGCGCGTGGCTGACTCCGTACCGTTAGAACCGCGAATGCATCGAGAATTCGAAACAGTGTGGGGCCTATTTACCGTAATCAATGACTACGCGTTTTATACTGTCGGCGATTATGCGAGCCTCATTGTTACCGCGAGATCCCCTTGGACTCATGCCTAGCTAGAGTATAGATTCCCTGTTGCGCGATGAATTCTCTTGATATTTCTTCGCGCGATGCGCACGTAGATAAAATCGTAGATTAGAAGTCGCTTGGCGAAACGGTCAGCGAGCACCTACATTCAGCCCAGCGGCATGAATGCAACACCTGTTGGATTCCAAGTTCACAACGCGTGTCATTGCCAGTTGGACGATGATGAGCAAAAATCAGTTAACTCGTAAAATTGAAAGAAACAACTAGTTACACGTAATATTAGTGCAATTATTGTACGCGAGACTCCGTATTGTAAACTTAATTTTAATACTTAAGAGGCTTTGATGGATTAATCTAATTTTGTTTAGACCTAGCTTGGAGGATTTAACAGATAAATCCTTTATTTATTATAATGCATCCAATATTATCGGATCTTCGAAGCGCTGCGAATGTGCGCAGTACGAAACTACTGAGATCGACAAGCGCTTCCTTCAGGTGACAAATAACCCTCGCACCTACCCTCCGAAAGCTGGCCAATTAGACGCTATCTCTGCGAGAGGAAAGAGAGAGAGAAAGAGACGGAGAAAAGAGACTTGAATGCCCAGCGGCATGAATGCACGGCCTCGATCTCTACGTCGATCCTGATCCCCACCTCCGGCGAGGGAGCCCGGCATGCGCGAGGAAGGAGACCGGTCTGCTGTTGCGTGTGCGGCTCGCATTACGGCGCTGAATATTTCATTCATAAGCGGGCCGAGCAATTACCGTATTCCACGAACGTGTGGTGCGCGCAAGGGACGTCCGCGATCGCGCTTACGTACACGCGCGTGTACCGCACGCTGCAGCCCGCGGTCGTTGCAGCTGCAATTACGCGAGGCGCGGCCCCCAGCGCGGTGAATGAAACGCATCCGCGCTCCTATGCCTTTTTTTCATCTCCTTCCTTTTTCCTCTCTTTGCCCCTTTCCGCTTCGCGTCCGCCTTCGCGTCCGTTCTTCCTCCGCTCATTTTCTTCCTCTTCTCCGATTTCCTCCCGACAGGCGGACCGATATTGACTTTTTGCACGCCGCCGACGGAAACGGCGATCCGCCTTTCTCGCCGATCGGGTCTCGCGTGAGACGAATTCGCGGGATTCCGCGCGACAGCGAGGTCACAGCTGGCGCGCGGAGACGATCCTCGGCCGCGATTCGAGCCGGTCGGAGGTCGGCGGTACATGCGTACGTGTCCCGCTCCGCACGTGCAGGTATGCATCGGGAACAGAGGAATACACAGAAGAGTAGCGTTAACGAGAACGAACGATCCGTACAACCAAAGTTTTAGATGCCGCGAATTCCAATAATATCTAGCGTCTTCGTTAGCTCTTTGTATGCGAATTAACGATCATGAACGAAGGCTCGAGCATATCATTGACAAAAAACTAACGTTTGGTATATATATTATTATAATAGTTATTGATATTTCTAACAGAAATCATCGGTGTATTAGGGAACAAAATTTTTTACCTAATGACTTTCCACCCTGCGCTTCCTCTCTATAGAATAATTTTGTTGGAGACCAACAAAAATTTTTTCACTTTTCTCGGGATCGCTAATAACACGCTGCTACATTTCTGCTTGCAGAATTTCCGGGAGCACCGTATAGACGGCGCAGCACTGCCGCTACTCTCGGAGAACCACCTGACAGGCACGATGGGCATGAAGCTCGGTCCAGCCTTGAAGCTGCGCGTGATGTTGGCTCGGAAACTCGGTGCCTGCACGGTATGCTTGCACTGTGCCCACTGTCACCAAACGCCGCTACCAGCGTTGAGCGCAGCAGCCGCGGCTGCGGCGGTGACGCAACAGCAACAGCAGCAGCAGCAGCAGCAGCAACAGCAGCAGCAGCAGCAACAGCAACAACAACAGCAGACGCCGGGTCGGCGACCCAGCAGCACCGGGAACTGACAAACAATGGCGGAGACTCCTCCATTGGGGTCCGAGACAGCGGCGGTCGGCGTGACCCCGGCATCGCCGTCTCCGGACCCGAACCGAGCCCTCAGGATAGAACGGCGTGTACCCCGCCCGGTACGCAAGCCGGAAGTCGTCTTCAAAAAGCCTATCAAGCAGTGATACGCGTACGACACGTGTTCAATCGAAAGGAGACGATTTCGTATGTCAGGAAGCATGGAGACTCCGCCTGTTGTCAGTAATTAAGTACCCCGGGAGAACTTTTAGAGATAGAAAACTCCGACCAAGAGTTTTAGCCGAGACTGGACTGAAAAACAAAAAGAGAAAAAGTGAGAGAGGGGGAGTTTGATTGACGTAGCGCGTAATGTAAAGCGTTGGACATTTGAGAATAGAAATATTTTTGAGCGCTCCGTCGATCATCAGGATAATCTAAAGCCTAAACTGTAGAGACCTGAAGAACTGTTGTTTAGCGAAACTGCAAGCTTCGACTGTAACGACGGATTACGTAGAGCTTATGTAGACGCAGCATGAAGGTATGTTAATTAATTGCATATTGTAAAAACTGAACATAAGAGATTTGAGAATTCGTCTTTGATTACTTATTGAACGTAATATTGGATAGACAAATAGAGCAATATTTTTGAAAATTCTATACGTATAGCAATGAAACCGTTGAATATATAGTTACACGTGGAAAAACGGTCGAAGAAAGAAGTTTTAGCTGAATCACGATAGTGTACATACATCGCTGCGAGAATAGATCTACGTATGATAATTGAAGAATTAGTAAAATAATGATGATTCCTGAACTTGGACCTATTTATTTTATTTAGTGAAACTATTTCCGTTGGATCTAAAGCTTAAAGATTTAATTTTTACTTGCGCCCAGAAGGCTGCATCAAATTCAAAAGAAATCACAACCAACGGATAGAAAAATGATAAATATTTATATTCTTTTGATATTTAAACAACAGAAATGAAGAGAATAATATTCATACAAAATAAAAATACGACGGCATAGATCTATGTGGGGGTTTGTAAAAATAGGTAATTTTAAAACTTGTGATCTCTGTCATGGATTCAGTACTTAAATAGTATATTTTGCACTGTGAAAAATAGAAAATTAAGAATGCATGTCGGACAAATAACATATACTTTGTTCGCATCGCGTAATGTACGATTATCTTCCATCGATGACAAATACATGTATCGGGGATATATTTTTGTTTAAATTATTTCTGTTTAAATATTTTATTAAATAAAAATTTACGCAATTCAAGTCCTACAAATAAACGAATTTCTATATGCTTTTTATTATTTCTATATTAACATGGTCGAAAAACACTTCTTTAGAAAGTTTGTTAAACTAAAAAAAAAAACAGAAAATTAAATTATTAAACGCGTCAGAATACTCTCAAGATTATGTCGATCATTAAAATAGAATTAACGTATTTGATTTTCTTCTTGGAGTTTTTCTTTCGAGAGACAAAAAATTAATAGATACTAAATCAAACGAGTGCCTATCTTCGTAAAGTCTTCCAAGACAACGTTGTCAAGTGATCGTTCGGATTAATTTCCGGTGCGCGATGAGACATTATATATTACATTTGATTACTTAAGATCATCTCGATCGTCGATCGACGAGTTTCTCGAACGGCCGAACTTGTATCTTTGTAGGTCATACGAAAGAGTTGACGAAATGAGGAATCACTAACTCGATGTCGAAAAGAGAAGGAAAAAAAAGTAAAGAGAGGAGGCGTGCGTGAGAGGTACGCGTATATGTGTACATATGTCGGAACGATTGCAATTACGTGCGAGTGTGTGAAGCGGATGTAAGTATATAGATACATTAAAAGAATATACGATCTATATATATATATATATATAAATATATACATAATCAGCGAGAAGAATTACGTGCAATAACAATAAATATACGTTTCGACGCGATAACTTTTAACTACTTCGTAGGAGATACGTATTTGCTCAAATCGTTGTTTCTTTTATATATTTTAACGAAGTTTTTTATATATCGATGAGAATTATTACGATAAATATACTAAATTATATTTTTGCTAATGCTCTATGTGCAAGAATAAGATCCACGTGCGAGCACACACATACACCGGAGGAACGACACACACGTACACGAAAGAAAAGAAAAAAAAAACCATACACATACATACAGACATCGACACGCGCGATACATGGACGACGACGACGACGACAGTTTCAACGCGCGACGGACCCGTGTAGCTCTTTAGGAATTGTACATTATAGCGTTTCTTTTATTTTGTGTCCCTCCCGCCCCTCCTCCCCTCTTAATCTCCAAGATTTTCATGCAACGTCAAACGTTTATTTATTTAGAGATGTAGTACCCGTTTTTGCCTTATTGTATTCACGTAACGATTAAGATGTAAATGGTGGTAGGGCGACGACGTCAAACTGCGCTTACACGTACCATTCGCGAGGGAAAGTGTGCGTGGCAAACGAATCGGTTTGTAAGACGAGCAGTATTTTTAGATTTACACAGACACACACATACACAGACAAGACACAGACAGTATAAACATTAGTATGAATTTACTGCAGATATAAACTTATAATTGTATGTACATATATACATAACACATGACACGTCTAAATAGCACGTTCCCACACGTGCGCCCGCGCTCCCGAGTTTGCGTTTCGTCGAAAAAAACAAAGAAGAAAAAAAACGCGATAACACATTAAAAATCGCATTTCAAAATTTCTTCAAGTGTATTCCGATCAATGAGAACGATCGGACGTGGCGGTGAAAGAAGGAAATTCCTTCGTATTTCCTGCAGCTGATTACATAAGTCCGTTACTACTCGTAGTACAAAATTACCAATGGTAATTAGACGCCGTAATCGCATGCGATATTACACTTGCTTATACGTTACGCAGAAAGGTAATTGTAGGTTGAGGTTTGTTTACGTGCCTATTATTTATAATTAGCGATTACGCTAATTTTCGACATGCATACGTACATATGATGACGTGACGTAAGGAAACATTTCTTCCCGTTTTTGATGTGCTTGACAGACGCAACGCTCATTCGGCAACCTCTTCTTTATCTCGAATTATTATTTGTTTTTGTCGCATTACGAACTCGGGCGCGCTAACACTAACCGAGTTAGCGGCTTTTACTTAAAACAAGACCACTGTACATAACGCTTAAGCATTTATTTATGTCGTGCTTCTACAAATGCCCCGTAGTATTTTATTTAGTATCTTAGTCGCGAGGTTCACGCTATTGATGCGGTAACTGCGAGCGTTACGCATTAATTATTTCGTGCAGCATGTTCGTTCGACGAGAGGAATGGAAGAACGAACGAGAGGAAAGAGAGTTGGAACGATAAATGTGCTGACAGATTCTTTCAGCGAAGGATAATTTAACCCGCACACATGTTAGAAGTTCGAGAGAAAAGATGGTAAAACCGGCGATAAGGCAATTTTTTGTGATATTTCAAGATTTTTCTATCCATCGGTATATCTCACTTCCTCAAAACCGATCGATTTTACTGGTATGTGTCCACTCCATCTCACCCGATCTCCCTTCGACTATTTTTTTGTTTTTCCATCGCGAGTCTGTCGTGTATTATCTTACGATTAACTGTCATATCATGTATAGTAGAAATTAATGGTGAAAAGAGGAAAAACAGTACATTGTTTCTGTTAAAATAAACATTGTTGAAAAATAATAGGTGTGTTTCATTCAATTTTATCGACTGTTAAATTCTCACAAATATTGCATTGTGGTGTCAGAGGCTCTTCTTCGATGGCAAACATAAACTAATCTACAGCTGTTATCGGATTTGATAAAGCGATGAAAATAAATGAGAGCATTGTACTCTCTGGAATTTGATGACATAAATTGAATAAAAAAATCACAGGCTTAAGTAATTCTATTTGTATTGATATGCAAACACTCACATTTTATTCATAATAAGCAAAAATATACAAGCAATTTATATTTTAAATAGTTGGTTAGATAATTAATCCAAATGCAATTAAATTCTTTCAAATTTAATATTTTAGATATTTTATGTAGCACATTTTATATTGTACTTACATGCTTGTAATACGCAATTTTAACTTCAATCAGATCTTTATGTCACCTTTGCCTGCAAAAAAATTAGAAATTACATCAAAGTTAGCAATTGAGACGTATTATTGCATTCGATTTAATTCCTTCGAATACGATAATAATTATGATTAAAATCCCAAACAACAATCTATTGCTTAAAAAAATCTTGGTTTCGTAAACATTATTTAGCAACGAGTGAGATGTTATTTGAACAAAATTAAGAAATTTATAGAATACAAATTGTTCTTCAAGAAAAACACATAAAGTAGATCAAAATTATCATAAGATAAAGGTGAATAAAACGTGTCGCTAGAAAGAATTAAATAATCATTAAACAAAATCTATTTACCCCTCGATGAATGGCGAGCACACCGTCTTCCTGGTTCTTGAAGATTTCTATGTACGCCTTTCTATTTTGATCCACTTTTACGACCTTACCGGTACACTTATTGTTCTCCAAGTTTCCGGAGATGACGTCGCAATAAGTGCCAGGTTCCAGACAGGTGAAGAGAGTCTGCTTCATGTCGTAATTGTCACCGTTGATCGCGATGAATCCCGCGTTTCCGCGACAGAAGGCGATTTGATTCTGGCCATTGTCCCACCAGTTGTTGACGTTGGTATTATTCGCGGCGTTTCGGAAGCGCACCATGTTGTAAATCTGACGCCACCGATGCTCGCATACCCAGCCGTTGCCGCAAGTATTGTCAGAATTGATGCTTGGTGATACAAGATTGCCGGCGGAGTCCTGCGGCGGGGTATCGTCAAAATTATAAAAGTTGTAGGAACTCATGATACGCGCGGTTCCGTATGGATGCGCCAGCATGAAAGCGACGGCCATCTGTAACATCATTTGTCATATTAATTCCGCACTCGGATAAAGACGTAATTCAGCCTCCGTGTTACTCTGTTTTTAGTTTCTCCAATTTCTTTCGAGGATCACTTGCCTTGTACAGCTTCGATGACTTGTAGGTGAGTATATCGGGATGGCCACGCTGAGTATCATGATTATCAATAAATACCAGAGCATCCTGGGACGGTAAGAGGCCCCAAGCTTCTCCCCAATTGCCAAACCATTTCAATAGATTACGTCCCTTCAAGGAATTGCTGATTTCCATACCATATCTGAATTCCGTTACCGCGGCGAAAGAATTGTATTCATATTTACTGACCGCTTCGCCACCATAATCGATCACTTCTTGGACTATATAAGGCCGCGCACCTGAAGGGAAATGCTCGGTATTGAGATTTTTCAGCCGAGAATAGATCACTTTTAGATCACCTGGCCACATGTGTTTAGCTGCGTCTACTCTAAAATCCAGAAATTGATGAAATTTTAATCGTGGAAAAATATATTATATAAATAAATGCATGTATCTTGTTTAACTAAAACGGTTTTTTAACTGAACTTAAAAATTTACTAAAAATTTTTTGCTTTTATTGAGATAGGCAAAGTTAATGCAACATCTAATTCCGCTTTTTCCCGAAAAATTGATTGGGAAATATTGCAACTGAATTGCATGGAACGTAAAGATTCTGCTAACCGAAAACCAGCGACTCCAATGTCGATAGCTGCATTCAAGAACTCGACAATCTTCTCCCTGACATGTTCGTTCGACTGATCGAGATCGTGTAGACCGCTCAACTCGCAATTCCGTACATTTTTCGGATCTTGATAATTGTTGATCGAGCAAGAGGGGTGGAAATGTTCTCGGGAGAACGGTACCGCCGGATAGCTGAAGTCATAAGTATTCGCTGTCGAACCGCCGGTACCCTTTGCGTCACGGTGATCACCGGACATGTGATTGAACACCACATCGACGTAAATTCTTACGCCGGCGTTGTTACATCTGCGAACCATCTCCTTGAATTCGTCCGCCGTGCCCGATCTCGTATGCCAGATGTAAGATATAGGCTGGTAACGTTCCCACCATGGTCTATTGCCTACTATCACGTTCTCTTGGATCGGTGAAACCTGAGACAATTTATGGGGATTTGTTCTAATCATCCATTCGATAATACACGCCAACGGGTCGCTCCGTTCCACTTAGGCGGAATTTAAAAAAAGATTTTGGGAACATCTCAAAACATAGCTGTCAATTAGTTTTGATAACTAGCGCGCTTTAAAAAAGCGGTGGCAAAGGCAATAGAATTAAATTCACCAAATTTGGTTAAGGCAGAGTTTATTACAATATTTTACAGTACGTCAGTACGCGTCGAATCCCTGATCTCTCGTTCCCGTGATTAATTGTCTGTTATTCCTTTTTGTTCAAAATTATTCTTGAAAAATCAAAATATTTTTTATCTAAATTTATCGTTAACATACATGTTTTGTAATCGTCGTTTAAATTTTACAAAGAACCCGGCTTAAATAATGAACTATATACGGTCCAATATTAACACAGATACGCAAATCCTTGTAGCGTCAACTCTTAATTCAGCATTAAAAAAATAAGATTTTCAGATTTTCCGCATGAAATTTTCTGCGAGCATACTTGTGTATATGTTTTGCATCTCCCTGAAAATTTGTTAAATGCTCCTTATCTCTTTTTATTACTCACTTGCACGCCACCGAATCCGATAGGACCCAGAAATCTTTCGCATTCATCCGCGATGTCCCGCCATTTCCATTCAAAAAGATGCACCATTCCATCGTGACCGGGCACATAGTGCGTCTCTTTCTGAGCGGCTACCGCCGATAGGATCGCTAACCAGCACACCAGCACTCGCATTATGCTCATTGATAACTGATGCGAAATATCAGTCACTCGGAAATATATAACCTCACTGGTCGCCTCTCGACGATCAATATTGCATTTCTGGTTACGACTGTACGTGACGTTTTGCTAACTACTCTACATTATATTATCGACTAACCATACCGATAAAATACTTCATACAATTTATCACACAAATACAAAACGCGATAAACGCGTCTTGCGAGTTAAATTTAATTAATTAGGTACATTCTTCTTACTCATTTGTATTGAAAAAGCGAGAATGGCTAGATGTTATTACAGCTGTAGATATTAATAACATCTGCATAAACGAACATTATCTGACCGTTGCTGATTCGGGGGAAATTTACAGAAAAATTCGAAATCGAAAAGTGAGATTACTTAACATAAAGAAATTTTGCAGATTCACGAATTAGTGAAATTTTGTGAAAATAAACACATAAAATTTGATCTCTTTTTTTATCCAAATTATTCACTCTCAGTTTCTGATTAAATTCATGATAATACTGAAAATGTAGTTATTGAGCATTATTTTAATTGTATCACACAAATATATAATATGCCATTTACAAATTATTTTATCTTATTCTTTTTATGTGACCTTGGCGTCGCAATGCTGCCGCATCACTTGATTACCATTACATCTTGAAAATGACATCCTTTAACTGATTATTTCTTGAGTACATGCATTTTTGCAATCTCTCTTTGAAGTCTCTCATGACTTCTTGCAACATTTCAACTGTGATGTTTGCAACTTGTTTACTTCTTTATTTGTTTTCTTTATTTGTTTAAGTTTCATCAATACTTTGAGATTATAAAAATAAGGAGTTATGAAAGATTTCAGAGAGAGAAATTGCAAAAGTGCATACACTTTAGATATGGTCATTTGAAGGATGTCATTTTAATATGTAATGATTATAAGATAATTTGTAAATGATATGTTATGTTCTGCATTTTTATATCATTAAAACTAATAAAATAAATTTTTTTTAATTGTTATTTTACCCTTTTAAATTTGCTCATTTCTTTGGCGCACCCTGTACATACCTGTTTAAAATTTTTTTTTAATCAGTAAATTATTTTGTGAAAGTATAAAATGTATTTGTATTTGTAAACATATATATATGTATATATATATATATATATATATATATACCTTCTAAAAGTTCGCGGCCCTCCAGGACTTATATAAGCAACAGCACAGCTTTATAGAAAAATGTCAATCAACTTTAATGCGAAATACCGAGAAGCACTAACTTGAGAATATTTAAAGAGCACAAAAACAAGATAAACTGATAATTAAATCACACATAAGAGAATCACAAGCTGAATTAAATAATCTTTAAATATCCGCTTGTTGGCACTTGATGTTTTGACAGTGATTTTCTTCTCTTTCTGTTAACAGTCTTATATCAGCTGAGCTCCTTATCAATCGGATACATCTGACAGTAAATTACGAAGTAGGACACGGGGGTGTGACAATTTTATTACTCAAATACAAAGAATGCAATATTTTATCTGCATTTTTATTTAATTACAGTGTTTACATAACTGTGATCACATAAGTGCAAACTAGTCATAGTATAGTGTTTTAAAATGTATTTTTAAGCTTTGTTCATAAACGCTTCATAGTTTTGCCTGCAATCATATGAAAATTCAGATAATACTATCATATCTTTGTTATCTCTCTCTTTATCGCTTTTTATTGCACTAACCTTAATATGAAGGGCGAGCACACCTTCCGGCTCGTCTGCTAGAATGTTGATCATAGCGGTACCATCGTCGTCAACTTGTATCGCTTTTCCACTACAGTAGCCGTCGACGACTGCTCCGGTTATGACGTCGCAATATATTCCTTTGGGCAATCCAGTTTGCAACTTCTCACGTAGATCACCCTCGACGTTGAAGACGGCGAAACCTTTGTCGCCGCGGGAGAAGGCGATCTGATTCTTCTTATTGCTCCACCAATTCTGCATCTTCTCGTCTTTTACCAGATTGCGAAATTGGACCATGCGATAAATCTGCGGCCATCTGTGCTCGCAGACCCAACCGTTGCTGCACATATTGTTGACGATCTCAGGCGAAATGATGTTGCCGTTCGAATCCGCTGGTGGTCCTTGACTAGGATCAGTAAAGTTGTAGGAGCTCATGATTCGAGTATGACCATAGGGATGGGCGAGCATAAAGGCCACTGCCATCTGTATGGATAATAAAGAGCAGAATACATTAACGGAGTAACTAAATCTCATTTATATTTATACGAATATCGATTTTTCAAATATGTAAAAATTCACCTTGTATGGTTTCGGGTCCTTGTACGTCAAAATGGCGGTTCCACCAGCACCGTGACCTCTTTGATTATCATGATTGTCAATCATGGTTAACGCGTCGGCGGAAGGTATCAATCTCCAAGCCTCGTGGTCAGCAAGAGTTTCCAGTCTCGACAAATTGTCTTGACGACGGAACATATTACCCAAGATGATGCCATACTGAAACTCAATGACGTTTGCAAAATCATTGTACTCGAATTTACTGACGGCTTCGCCACCGAGATCGATGACTTCCTGATAAATGTAACACTTCGCATTCCGCCGGAACCCATTCTTTGGAGATAATTTCTTCATTCTTTTGTAAATAACCTTAAGATCCTCTGGCCACATATGTTTGGCGGCGTCAACGCTGCAAAGATGGTAAAAACATTCCGCTATACTTGTATCAATGCCAATCGGACCACTTTACTGTTCAGAATCTACTTTTTAGCTGAATGCGCAGAACAGTGTGATTAATAGAATGTTTATAATATTTCTATATCATAGAGTATACAAACCAATGATATTATAATACTACAAAATTACTACGTCGCGGATGAATTGCTATTCGAAAAACAAATCGTGATTAATTGATGAGTTTTATCAATAAAATGCTACGCGTCGTATAAAGTTTGTACTGCGAGTAATGCGAGATTTTCCATGCATTTTGAAGTTCTTACTGCAGATGTCTTATTATAAATGACCGCCAATTCCGAATATCTTTTATTTTGTATGCGGCACGCAGGCGGGATCGGTAGCTAACGCGGCTCCGGTCAGGGGTTCAACATCCCAAACAGTTATTTCCGCGCCGAATTATGAGCGTCGGCGCGGAGAGTCGGCTCGTTAATTAATTAACGCTATTTGGTCAATTAAGATTTTTACCGTTTACGTTTGACCGTGGATACCGCGAACTCCATTGAATTTAATCGCATATTCGCGATAATCACCTCTGTATTTGCCAAAGGCACTTCTCGCGATACCAGCACACGGTGGCTGACGCGCCGAAGGTCAGAGTTCATTGCAATCCGCTGGAAAATGATGCGACCAGGTAGCGTTATTTATTTCCGTTTATTCATTCCGTAATTTACTTGTGGATAACACGCGACAGGGAGAATTATTTTACTTACGGGCTGCCGCGATTCCGTATTAATTGACCGAGTTATTTAGGACACCCGGATTATCGCTACACACTTATAATTGCCTCTATTGCAAGTAAAATTTTATTAACTACGGTATCGTAGAAATAAAGTTATTGCTATAATTATGAAGAAAATGCACGTAACTTCATTAAAGAAATGAAAAGGAAGAGAGAGGAAAACATACATACATGTAGAAGAAAGATAACATTGACGTTACGGTTCTCATTAAGAAACAAGATTATAGCCTTCCTGTTTTCGCTACAGCGTACTGTTTCAAATAACGTAAAATTATCATACGCGCACTCACGATAATTTCATCGCGTTAATTTTGACGCATTCATAATTTCGCGCGAGCAAAACGCATATAAGAAAAAGAATATTGCTGTCGCCGCAAAACCATTGCTGCTATCACATACGTGATATAAAAGGGAAACTTCGTTATCGTAAATTGCTTGGAACTAATGTTTTGTTGGTAAAATAGAAGAGCCTTGACGAATAAATTTTATAATTTCAGAAACACGAGACTGCTGCTAAAGCTGAACGATCAGTTTAAAGGAAAAGTTATTGTTACAACAAAAGCGTCACTGCCTTAAGCCTCAGTTCCACAAATATAAAATTAAACTCGGTTTAACTTACTGTTTGTCTCTTTCTAATTCTTAGATTAGAAAAAGCGAGTTGAACTTTGGTTAAATCGAGTAAAATGTGAATAGTGAATCCGGGCCTAACGGAGAAAGAATCCATTTCAGTTATATAACATATAAATAATTTGTTGCAAAATTATTCTCAGCTTGTCATGAAAATGTTCTTGCCGGTCATACAATAATTAACGGAACTTGCAGAACGGCAGAATATATTGTAATATATTGTACCATCAGACTTCCTTTTCCGTGCGCGCACCGTGACTTTAGCGCACTTTTGCGGCTGTCACGATTTCTTAATATGCGCCATCAACGCCACATTCCTTTACTCGAAATATATGCAAAACATTCGCGAGCCGCGGACGCGATGCGTAGCGCAGCCGTCCCCAAGACGGCAGCGCGACCCGTTATCATTCCCGACGCGTATATCGCTCTTCCGCTTGTAAAGCCACCGGTTCGGTACGAGATGGTACGATTTCGCTGCGGGTTACAATTACGAGCGAGGCGCGTAATTAAAAGCTGATGTCTCTCATTTATTAATGCTACCAGACGAGCCGGCCTCTGTCAGTACCGCGCGGCACCGCTCGTCCGGTTTAATGTTAAACATCATCAGTCTTCGGTGCATCCTTGATGCAAGAAAGAGAACGAAGGAGAGAGAGAAAGAGAGAGAAAGAAACAGGGATGAGGCTGGCCGAGTGCATCCTGCGAGTTTACACTTCGGTTTTTATATCTCATTCGCATATTTTGCCGCAGAATGCGCATCGACCATACATTGATGTTGCATACAGATAGGAATTATCAAGGCGAAACGCGATCGATGTTGCGAATGACTTAACTTTTTTTGTACTTTCTACTGAGTTAGTTCAATAGTAGAAATTACGAACGACATAGAAGAATTCGTTCTCATTAGATATCTATAATGTCCCGAATAATGTCAATGTTCCATAACTTTTTTAACTTACATTTGGTATATTCTACGAATTTTTATTTTGCATAAATGAAACCGATCTGTCTTTTTTTTACAAAAAAATATCTTATAATATAAAAACAAATTAATTAAGAATAATTACCGTATGCCAGCGATTCCGAGGTCAATGATGTGGTTATAAAATTTAACTATTTTATCTCGGACGTGCTTTTTGCTCTGGTCAAGATCGTGAAGACCGGATAGCTCGCAGTTGCGAACTTCGGTGGCGTTGTTATAATTCTGGATGGTACATACTGGATGGTTGAAGTCTTTGGAAGTGTACGGAACTCCCGGATAACTAAGGTTTTCTGGCTTTGCTGACGTGCCACCGGTGCCGTACGCATTTTGTGCAGGCCCTGTCATGTGATTGATGACCGTGTCGACATATATCCGCACACCGACCTTCCTACATCTTTTCACCATATCCTTAAATTCGGCTTCGTTTCCCGATCGACTGATAATTTTGTAGGACATTGGCTGATATCTTTCGAACCATGGTCTACCATCGATCACGAGATTTTCATTTATGGGAGAAACCTATAAAGGTATTTACAAGACTCTATTTGGCATATATTTTTTATATGTGACACTTCTTAATTAGCGCTATACAAAACTTTTATATTTATGTTAGAAACATTTTTATAATGTTAAATGAGATTGGCAAATTTATTCTTTAATATAATAAGTATTATAAATATATGCAATATAGCTTTTTTTCACTTGTTCTCCAATGCAGCACCGCGATTGATTTATTGCCAGTTGCTTTATGACAGGGTTGGATAAGTTAATTTGCCAATTTTCTTAACTAAGTTAAGTTAAAGTGGTTAATTGATTATAAAACTTAAAACTTAAAAATAAACTTAGTTACATTATATAAACCAAAAACTGATTTAGTTAAAAGTTAAATTAAAATTAAATTAAATTAAAAGTTAATTTTCAAAAGTATTATTTAATTCAGTTAAAATTAGTAATTTTTAGAATTACTTTATTTCAAATTTAAAAATAATTGCAATATAAAATACAATATAAATATCATACTTTATTTGTAAAATAAGTTTATATAAAATGATAAAAAATATATTTTAAAAAATTGTTTTTCTTAACTTTGTATAAACTAAATTACACAACTATTAACCTTTTAATTTTATTATTTGATTCCTAACTCTTTAACCCAACTTTATTTTGATAATAACAAAATTTATGAGTCATGATTTATATTTCAAGTACTTTGTTATTATCAGTAAAAATATTTTCCCGCTTAAAATAAAAGTAGTAGAAGATTGTTTGGAATGTTTAAAAGAGTTGAAATAAAGAATTTCAAATAACAATATGGGAGGTCTGGAATATTATCAGGTTTTTAGATTAGATAATATTTAATATAGAGATAAATTAGAGTCTAAAAAATTAAAGTAACTTAGATTACGTTAGAGTGTAAATGTAAACAAGTGTTATTGTAGAGATGGAAGTGGAAAATTTGTAACCACAATAAGAATCAATAAAGATTACATATAGATATATGCAACAGTTTATATATTATAAAGATACTATACACAAGCGTTTATTATACATACTTGAACACCACCGTAGCCCATCGGACCGAGAAATTTTTCACATTCTTTGGCAATGTCTTTGAATTTCCATTCGAACAAATGAACCATGGTAGTTCTATCGCCGACATAATGCGGATCTTTATGGGCAACTGCGAACGCCAATAAAGATATAAAACTGAGGCTATAGAACGACATCGTGATGCCACACCCAAAAACTGACTGTAATCGCTTAGGTTTTCTCGATATATCTGGACAATTTATAGAAAACTACGTTGCTGATACACAATGATTGATGAAGTCATTCGACAAGTGGAACGATACGTCTGATAAATGTCACTTGTATTAGAGTCAATCGATAATCGTCGTGCGCATTATGTGTTACATTTGTCATTCTTTCTAAGGCATTAATTGCTGATGGTCAAGGTGATTTCATCGCAGGTGGCAGTTATTATAGTTCGGTATGTAGACAATTGTTCCGTCGCAAATAGTTTATACATGCAAATTCTGAGAAACTGTACGGAAAAATACGCACGTGCAAAATAAGTGACATAACATTTCCTTTCATCGACATTCGTGAAATTCAAATAGAATTTGACTCTCTGTCTCGAGATTTTTTATCCAAATAATATAATTGTAAAAATTTAATTCAACTGGACTGTACGTGATAGACGTAGGACTTGTAAGCGAATTTTGAACTAACGATTTTTGAATTATGAGTGTCTTTACAACAAATATTTTAATATAAGATTAGATAACAATATGTTTATTTATTTCATGTCAATATAAAATAAGATTTTATGCCGAATGATAGTTGAGCGTTACTTTTTTTGTTATCTTTATCATAATCTATTTCTTGAAATAAAGATGTAGATGTTTTTATAATAAAATTCAAACATGAATTTTTCCTTGTCGATTGGTATTTCGGTATAATCAAGTCTTTTTAAAAGGACGTTAACACCGACGGGGCAGCCTCGATGGCAGATGGCACGATTGATAGATCGGTACGGACTAAATCTTGCGATATCTTACGTCATAAACGTAGCCGGGATGCTGGAAGGATAATTATTTGTGATGCGCCTGCCATCTGACGCTCGTAACGAGTCGAGTCGATCGTGGGGAGAACAAGGTCGGCAGAGGCACGGGTGCGAAATGTCATGATAATATTCATCGATCTCTTTGGCGCGTAACACCTTTCGCTATTTATTTGGGATGATTTGTCTGCGATTTATCACCACTCAGTTGACCGCTCAGCATTTCCCTCTACGGGATACGGTACAGCGAATGGAATAACGTAATCCAGGTGTTGAACGTGCGCGAGATTCGTACTTACGTAAAAGAGAAAAAAAAGGAAAAAGATCAACGTCAAAGTAAGATGCGTACGCGTTGATACTGCCTTTTGTATCTCGAAGAATTGAATTACGTTTTCCTACCATCTGGTATGCTTATTATGATTTCCCGCAGACGCTTCAAAGTCATGAGGTAAAATGAACAAGTCCACTTTTGACATGACGTTTTTCTTTATTCATAGTTGGACTGATTTGGCTACGGTATATCACAGTAAATAGATCGAACTTTTAGGTAGAGTTATACCGATCGCCAGCGAATTAACGGCTTGAACTTTATACAATTCCATAAGACCATATAATGTTTATCTTTCTTTCTTTCTGTTGTATAAGCTTCATCTTCAAACGGAAGAAATGCGATACGCCTTTTACAGAGTATGCGCTACTCTATAGGAAGAGGGATATGTATATAAAATCAGTAAATGCATAAATATTACTTAATTAGTAAATGTATAAAATCAGTAAATGCGTAAACATTATTTAATTAGTTAAGAAAACTTAAAGTTACAAAGATATTATATATCTATGTATATTAAATAAAAAAATTTATTCTTACGTTTATTATCTCGTAAAATAAGAATAACTGGAAGACTAACGAATGCTAGCATAATATGGAAATTGTTAAAATGCGCGCAACCGAAATAATCGCAAATTGCTAAAGATATCATTGAATTAACACGTTTAGAGATATCCGAAGAGATATCATTGAATTAACACGTTTACTATCACTAATTATTCGTTTCATTTTTGCGAGACCAGGAACATTTTGTCGTAATTCTTTTAGAAATTGATTTTAGTAAGGCGACAAGCTGTATAAAACTTTGGGCGCTTAAACTTTAAGCGTTTAAACACGGAGACACAAGCGCAAATCAAAGACGCGCCTGCGCGTCGGTGACAGTGAACATGTTAATTAGTTTTAATTGAAGCCATTTTAAATGAAAAGAAATTAATCGCAGTACAGTACTTTGTGCCACACTTTATCCATACGTTTTAGCTCGATCGCATTATCGATTAATATTGTAATGAGGAGTTCGCGCCACTTAGGCTGCTCAACGATATATAATATTATATATATATTTTTTTGTACATACATCTTACGTATAAAACAATAGAAATGTCGCTGCACACAACAGACAACGGTACATAGACAAGTAAATGTATTCACATTTATAAACATATCTTTGGTACATCTACGTAAATAAGCTGCACATGCGACAGTAATAAAAAACCTTACCAGAGACGACAGCTGCGTGTTAGTTTCACGTTGTTACTGACGTTTTGATCTATGTATTAAGCTTTGCTTAAAAATTAAATTGCTTCTGTAATCTCTATCCGACTGAAAATAGAGAAATGTTAGAAATCTAAGGGCGCGCGTTACGTGTCTAGACTTTAGTGCATATTCTTTATTTATAACGGACTAAAGTGTAACTTATTTCATAGCTGTGCATGCATCGGTTATACCTATAGTTAAAAACTACGGCAATAGCATTCGTTTCAGCGAAATTTATCTGGCAATTAATATTCAGACTTCCGAACCGTAGCTTCGCTGCGATCTCTGGTTTTCTGCTAATTGATGCAACTGAATGGAAAAATGAATAAGTCTTGCGTCGGTTGTAATAACGTCCAGGGAAGCGCCTATGGCAAAACATCAGGCGAATCATTTGTTACTGTCAAATCGCCCGCCACGTATTATCCAGAAACGATATAGAATATATATTCTCCATGTCTCTCTTGACTATAATATACTATCAGATTTTATTTTTAACAAGCGTATAGAGTGTCTCTCTGAGATCGTTACTATAACCACACGTACGTTCCAAAAAGTTCGACAATATTGTTTCGTTGATTAGAATTGAAATAGTTCAAGAAGTCAAGCTGGTGAAAAGTAGTACGAAGATTATAGGCATAATTTATGATAAATTGGGAACTACAAAAGGTAGCAGTTGTAGGAGATTATAAATTATAGGGGCTAACAATAATAAAAATACAAATAATAAATACTACGAATATATATATAAAAAAACTGCATCTTTAAATACTTATTTACTTAATCTATGTTAATTATCTGCCCACAATGATGCATTCATTTAATTGAACGGTATTTCTATCGAATGATGGAGAGAGAGAGCATGATAAATCAAGCGACGGATGCATTTTTACATACACATATTTACGTTTGCACATTTTACGTTTAACAAATACATATTTCCTTTTGCAATAATAACACGAGTACGATTGTCTTGTTCCACGATCATGGACAATCGAGCCTAACGGAATCCTCTGATTTATTACACCTAGAAATGGCAACGCGTATATTGAGATTACCGAGATTGCGACGGCGCGGCGCTTGGATACACCGTTAAAGCTTCACTTGCGCCGCGGAAAAGAAGCTGATTACATGCACCAGTTGATATTCTGACGCGCGCGCGTTACTTCGTCGCGTCGACATTAGAACGTTAAAGAAAACGGAGCCGGTGCTCTTTTAAGACATTAAGTAACCCCGGAATACGCGGAGCGCTGTGACGCGTCCTAATGGCAAACGCATTGCGCAAACATGTCTCGCATTCACGATACCTTTCAACATTGGATGGATAAAGTCGTAGAGCCGTATAGCCGCGAGGTCACATGATATACATCCAGACGGAAGCGAATCATCGAAATTTAGAATATGTGCGTTTTGTATAGCCAGACTAGATTCGCGCGACCCTCGTGCCTCAGCACTATCCTAATGTAAAGTCCACCGACTCCCTCGAGCGGTCGTATACCAGTTGGCTGCTCTTGCTGCGATTGCGGCTGCGGCTGCTGCTGTTGCGATTCCCCAGGCTGCGGCAACTGCGGCTTCTCCTTCCGACGCTGTGTCTTTTGATCTGCTTGTTGCACTGTTATCTCCAATTTTTGCTGCTGCACAATCGACTCTTGACGCGATACATCCGCAAGTTGCACCTTTTCACCTTGCTTGCGCAGTTTCGCTCGCTCATTCTTATCCAGCGGTTCTTGCAGTTGTTTACGTTTCTGTTGCAGTTCCGGCTGTTCATCCGCCTTCTGCAGTTGCGGCTGCTTATCATCCACTTTTAGCTGTTGCTGCACACGCTGTTCGGCTTTCGGCGAATGCTTCGTTTCTTCTTTCTTCACCAGCTCCGGCCGCGTAATTTGCTGCTGTTCCTCCTTCCCTTTCTCCAATTTTCTTCGTATTTCATGTTCCAGCTTCTGCTGCAACGGTTTTTCATATTCTAGTTTTCGCAATATTTCTGCATCTCGTTCGAACTTCCGTCGCAGCTGCTGCTCCAATTCCATTTTACGCTGCAACAGCTGTTGCTCTTGCTGTAGCTTTCGCTGCTCCCTGTCCTTCTCTATCTTCTGACGGACTTGCTGCTGTAGGTGACCCGGCTCCTTTTGTTGCGGCTGCACCTCTTCCCGCTTCGGCTGTTCTTGCGGTAGACGCTGTGGTTGAGGTGCCTCTTGCTCTGCGTGAACTTGAACTTGAGATTCCTGTTCTTGCTGTTGCTCCTGCTGTTGTTGCTGCTGCTGCTGCTGCTGCTGTTGTTGTTGTTGCTGCTGCTGCTGCGATCTCTGTCGCTCTTTCTGTTCCCTTTCTCGTGCGATAGCATCGTCTGTTGGCGCCGCTCCTTCGTCGGGGCCACAAATATCCTCGGTTCGTCGAGGTTCGTCCGAAACGGCCGCGATCAGTGCGGCCGTGGCCTGAGGTTAGTTGCTACCAGAATTTTGTTTCTGATCCGATCCGGCGTCGGAGCCGCTCGAGCTCAAGGTCGTGATGCTGCCATACGGATCCAGTGATGACTGGACCGACATGCTGCGACCCTGTCTCCTCACTCTGTGGGGAGAGAATTTTCTGGGGTCAACACTGGTTGGGTCTGCCTGCAACAAATTCTTTCATAAAGAAACTGATGGCACCGCCGCACGGAATCGCGTAAAACACGTTTCATAACGCAAGTTAATTATATCAGTAGCATTCTTTTGCGATTTAAAATAAAATATATGGAAAAGCAACGCGCACCTGATAAGCCAATGCGTTCATGATGATCTCTGGTGGCACTAATCCCAACGGATTCACTTCTTGCATCAACACGGTAGCCGGAATTTTGTGAAACTGTATATACTCGATAAAGTTACCAATTACATCTTTCAACGGTGTATTTTGATTGTTGTCGCAATACTTTTTACTCCACATCAGTGCGGCCTGTAAGCGAGAAGTTGCGGAAATATCGTTCGGAAAAATGTTGTTAACATATTTACATATGTATCAAGCTTACCTGAAATTTCGTAAATTCATCTGCACGTAGTTCTTCTCTGGCCAGGATCAAGCGGACAACGTGTTGCGGCAGTAACGTGAAGGACCCTAAATTTAGTACTTCATTGCCATGCTCATCGACGAACTCCAGTACCTTTGCAAAGAATTTTCGTAGTAATTTTAAATAATAATTAGTTATAAAATTAAACATTAACACAATATATCGAAAATCTTTATAGTTATAATAAATGCAAATTTACCTTCTGAACCAAGGTTTTCGTGCATTTATACTGAATATAACGTTCCGCTGATGCTAACAGAGCGCAGACTGTATCAACGGTTATGCAACATTGAACGAAGCCTGAGCATGCTCGTCTAAGCTCATCCAATCCGTAATAATCGGCGGCGTTCATGACTCCTGCGGGCATAAATTATTATCAATCATCAAAATCGATTCATTCATTAGATTCGAAGATAAAAACATTTGACGTGTCTTTTTCAGTACAAGAAATTATTGTACAAACTCTTCTACTATGTCTAATACTTATATGCTATGTCTAGATCGCAATAAGATATAACGACAGGAAATAATCGTTGGTAATGATTAATCTACGCGGCAAATAATAGACATTCTAATTGGCTTGTTAGAGATGTATACTATATAATTAATTGATTACCAAGCAAGGTTCTAGGCTGTAATGTCACACATCCCGTGTGAATATACTCGATCAGCTGCCGGAAGACATCGGGCTCGAACTCCTCGATAATCAGCGTATGATGCTGATGTGATTGCGGCTAGGATACAAAAGTGAAATGCAAAGATTTAAACGAAGAAATAGGAATAATCAGATTTTATCGAATGCCCGTGCTATAAGCGACTTGCATGGGAATCCGTAAGAACTAGCGCAATAGTAAATTAAATTCACTAATTATGAAGTAAGAGATGATATGTTAGACAAGAGATACACGGGCATCATAATAATATTTTTAGTTGAGTGCATAATTTTAACTATTTTGTGCATCTAACATATTAGAAGAGTAAATACTAATTGATTGCCTGACTAATAACCCAGCGAACATATTTAAGCGCTATGTCTGTAGATATTTTTTACAATATACTTGTATTTTCTACGTTCTGTTAAATACATCCTATTTATAAATTGTGTTAAAATATTACACTGATATTTACATTTATACCAGTAATTACAACTCGTTCGCTTGGTTGATTTGTGATTTGCCATTGTGTGAGTCAATATGAGAGCTGAAATAGTGAATACCGTAATCGTGCCAATCTACAATCATGTATAATGAATTTGGCGACTACAAGAATACAATTGGATTAATCATGCAGAAGTCCAAATACAGAGTTAGCGCACAGTCCAGTCCATAATCGTATGAAGTACGTGTTTGCGCACGTGTTTCTCGAGAATCGTCTACTATCTCTCTTAGACGCGCAAAGGAACAATCAAGATGAAAGAGCATTTGTCCAAGTAAAAAAGTCAAGGCAGCGAAAAAACATCGAGTTGTCAATACACAAATTTTAAGTAGTCTTCTACGAGAGCTCCTCTAAATGGTTTCGTGAGACAAAATCGTGATCGCAGTGCAATGAGCAGAAAATCAGTGAAGAGAAAAAGGGGAGTATTCAATTAGAAATATGGGAAGAAAGGGGGCAAGATATGGAATGGAAACGATTTCGATCTGTACGTAAAATTATACGTAAAAGTGACGTTCAAAGTACCTCTTGGATGGGGGCCAGTTGCTGCGTGAACCCTGACCGCTACACGACATATACAAACGCACACTTACTATTTCTATCCTGATAAAAACGGAAAATTCGTTTCAGCGACGGTCACGATAAATATGCAACGTGTCCCAAAAAAAAAAAAACGAAAAAATTGTCGCTTCAATATGTGTAACATAAACCTTAAAATAGAAGTAACCCTTCTAATTTATTATTAATTAGCAGATTAACGGAATCCAATTGCAATTTCAAGTTTTCTTTAAATTAAAATTGCTTGACAAAGTAAAATTGACGTGAACAATGGTTGGGCTTTTGCATATCGAACGTGTTCGCCAATTTGAGAAATTTGTTCATATCTATTTTATGTGCTATTTACATAATAATTATTATTATTGTCTCCTTCTGTCTTGCATTACAGTTGATATATACACGCATATATTGACTTGAAGGAAAATCGGAAAAGGAGATATTAAAAAAATATCAAAATTAAAAAAGAAAGATCTGACGTCTTCCTCATTGCAATTTAATATATTATAAATATTGCGCCATACTTATTTTTTTTTCATTGGATCAATGCGATCGATAAATTTGATAGTGATAAACTGTGTATTTAACTTTTGTGGCAAGTACCTGTTGAGCGGCGTTCTGCAAATTTAACAGCGGCTCAGAGCTGCGCTTGAGAAAGAGCCGAATCTTGTTTTCTCGCGCCGGCGGCTCCTTTTTGCGCTGCGGACTCGGTGTTTGATATAGCATTTTATGGAAGACTCTGTAAATTTTCAAGATGAAAATCTCGGTTGTACTCGTTTGTTCCGTGCGTATTAACAGTGTGGAAGGTGTTTTCAATACGAACCTGCTTCTGGCCGCGAGCACAGCTTTTACAGCGCAAACTGGCTCCCTGGTGTCACCGACGAGAAATGTCACGTCGCAGAGCTCCGGCATACTCGCCAAAAACTTCATGTCCTCGGCCAGGCCGGTTTTATTCTCGAAAGTCGAGTAATCATCCTCGTCGGTCGTCATCCCAGATCCTGAAGCCTCCGGCATCGGGCCCATGTCTTCCTGCTGTTTATTTCACGTAGAAATGTGTGTGACTGAATTGTCATAATTCTATTTCTGGCTTCATTTAACTTTGACTTTAATTATCCGATTTCGCTTACAACAAATGTAAAGGCTGTCCCCAGCGCGATAAGTATCAGCGCATGTGCAATATTATTTACATTTATTTATTCGTCATAAAACTGACGTAAAAAAAATGCTCAATAATTATTATGTACACAAGTAGTGCGCAGGCTTCGATAAAAATAGCGTGGCCTTTCAATACGCAGCATATGAGGGGATTATATTAAAAAAAACGACGCTTTCATCCATAAACTATTATTTAAAAGATAATCTTTGTCGCCCTCCTTCCTCTGCTCCCTCGTTATGAGGTAATCTATAGTGCCAATACTTTTGCCGCTAAATACGTGCACTATCAACAACTCGAAAATAAACACTTCTCTTAGAAATTTTGCTTGCGCTGTAGAGTGCAGGTATTTTATCGAGGAGAAAAATCTACTAGCTCTCTTGCCGACAAAGCGTTTATTCACCAAAGGACGCGCTCTTCCTTAAACGTGATCGCAGTCTACAATGTAATTAACCTACTTTTACTAAATAAAAAAATTAGTATCAAGTTTAGAAAAGTAACGCGGATATATGTATATGGATCTTCAATTTCATTCAATTAATCCTGCCAATAATGCTTTGTACTTAATTGCTGCTCTCTACTGTCGTTACTTTTCAAATAATCGAGACAAATAATAGACGTCTGTAAGTCACGTACGCATGTATAGGAAGAATTATTCAGATCCTATAACTTTTTTTCAATTTTATCTTCGTTATATTAGCATTTATCCTAGAATTAGTTTTTGTATGTTTTAGTCGCTTGTTTAAAAAAGTATATATCTGTATACAAGCAGTTCATGATATTAATAAAAAAACATCAAAATTAATTACTCTTATGAAAAGACTTTTTTTCTTTAATTTGATAATTAATTAATTGTATATTTTATTTTGCAATTTCATTAAATTTGTAATAATTGCCAAAAATATTCAAGCGATAAAGATATTTAACTCGTTCTTCTCGCTTTCACTAATTGGCATGTTATTTCGCGATGTTGTTAACAATCAAAATAATTATACACAAGAGGGTGCAATTATGTAACAGAAAATGAAAAGGAGAGAATAAATCGACAACTGTTTGAAGAGAAGTAAATTGAAAGAGTATTCCAATATGAAGTGTTACCTGTTGCTTTGATCCCGGAGCCTCTTCGCTTGCCGGGCTGCTTTGGCCCCGAAAAAACACTTTTAACTCTCTTCTTGAATATCGTCGGAAAAATCAATCGATCGTTGGCTGAATCGAAAGCGCAAGAATGAAAAATTAATTAATTAATTAATGGAGCACGCATATGCGAAGAGAAATGAGTCTCAATAAGAGCTAAATTATTATACGAAGATTAAACGTTCTCTGTCTCGTTAACATATACGTAAGATATTAATTGAGCACGTCACACACAATAACATAATTTGGCACAAACCGGAAATACAACCGTAAATATACAGTTCTCATAAATTCAAATATAAAATATAAATACGATAGTAGATACTCGGCAACATCAAGATAACGTGTAAAGTAGAAATTAATACAAATTTCAAGGCAAAATTTTTCGGACACTTCGAACGTGAGGCAAATACCTAGGAGTCCGCGGTATCGAGCTCGGGGTGCAATCGACGTCGCGGGATTGATCGCGTTGGCTTCCAGCACGCGTTTCCAACGAAGTCGCCCGGAACGAACGCCGCCCCTTCTCGTCGCGGAAGAAACGAGGGGTGAATCTTGCCGCAGAGAACGACACGCGTGAACGTCTCGGTCCTGGCTGCCGTCTTCGTGAAGACTCGAGGGATTCCGGACGCGTCGGGGGTTGCTTTCGTGAATGGATATACCAGTCGGAGGGAGCACAGGGCGAAGTCTCTGGACGAGCAAAGAGTCGGACATACGCAGAGCTTCCTGTCGACGAGACGTCGAAAAGGCGTCGCGGCGCCTGCGTCATGTGGGACGCCGCCCGCTTCTACGCCGGCTCGACCCGGAGGATCTTCCCCCTATCGGACGGGATGGTTTCATGCAAGACGGATATCCTTGGACTGGACTGATTAAATATCGCTCGACAGTACTCGATTGTTTCGAGATGCTGCGTTACAGGCTTGCATTTTTGCTAATGCCATTAGTCTCAATGTTTGACAGTACTCTTGATTAATAATTTTGGCTAGAGCTTCCGGAAATTTCAATCTTGGATTTTTTACAATCTCGTATATTATGAAGCGTGTGAATCTGTTAATTCATCTTTTATATTATATAATAATATTATATGATTAATATTTACAATTTAAAACATAGATAATTTTTATTTTCCATTTTGCAATTCTGTTAAACTATTTTGAGTAATCAAAGTTTTTGTAATTTATCGAGAATGGACAGTTTTATAAAATATAATAATTACATAAAAGTCCTAAAATACGTTTAATAAAAAGATTTATTAATTCTCGTGGTTAAATAAAATTTCTAGTCGTCGTCTCTTAAACATCGGTATTTTCAGGATATCCAGTACCATGATATTTATTATCTACTAATAACACGCGAGCAGAAAGTGAAGACAATGCAAATTCTACTGTGACGAATTTGGGTCAAGCTCAATTTATAGCAAAATGTGGACTGGAATCATTCATATAGTTGAAAAAGCTTTCGTCTCACTTCAGGACATCCCGCTATTGAAGGCTATCTTTCTCTTCTAATCAATACGACTGGGCACCGCAACAAGTTGCGACGCGGTCAGAAGATGCGAGAAAAACACTTTGGATTTAAATCCGATATAGATTTATAGCTAAATTTCTGAATATTCTTAATTTAATTTAAAAATATATATTGCACGAATAAAATTATATATTATACATACAAGCAGAGACTGTATACTAATCACTTTAAAATCGTAAATAGTAATTCATTTTACATTTTTAATTTATCTGAATCACACTTTTTTAATTATATTTTTTACTACAGAGAAAAAATATTCTAAAATTTTTTAAATAAAAGGGTAATTTACGGTGAATTTGTTAATTCTAGAAATATGTCCAATTTTTTTTTCATGAAGAAATTACAATGTATGAACGAAGGCTAAATCATTTCCAAGCACGAACGTAATTCGAAACATTCGAGCTTCAAATCGCGCCGAAGCGACCCTTGCAGGACTCTTCATCCCCCTTTGCTCGAGTGGAGTCTCTCGGACAGCGACGTGCGTCTCCTGCGACAACGAGGACGCCTGCGCGAGAATAACGAGCGATTTCATTCTCGCTCGTGCAGCAGCTCCCTCGATAATTGGTAAACGGTTCGATAGATAGGAGCGGTTGGTCGTAATAAGCCAGGAGCTTCATTAGCCGGGAATACTTTTCCGTGTCGGTTGGATTTTAAACATAAGAAACGTACGCGTAGCCGCTCCCGCTCCCTGAATTGTCAGACCGTTAGGTGGTGCCTCGTTCTGCGATTCCGTCATGAGATTTTTCCGGCGTCATTATTGATCCTTGGCGGGACTGCCGTTTACCTTGTTCCTCGAAACAGCGAAACTCGTGGGTGGCCAGAATTGGGTCAGGGCTAAGCGAAAGCGTACCACGTTCCATTTTCGCGCGGCGTTTCAGGTCCCGTATCAGAGACTCCTATTTATATGAGGAGGATTTATAGAAAGGGACTCCTTCTTTCGAAAATAAATCGCTTGGCGTACATCCACTAACGCAAAGGCACATTTCGTTGTACCTCCACATCGCATATTTTCCCGGTATATAACGTCACGGCAGGAATATTATAACGTACAAACGTAACGTACCTTACTTTAGGATACTAAGATTAAAATAGAAGAAATCACGGGGCAGGGTTTTTTTTTGCTAAAGACTATTAGTAACATAAAACAACATCGATTTATTCAACACAAATACTTGCACGTTATGATAGAGGTTTGTAGTAATGATATAATAATGATAATAATATTCATATATACACGAAATAAGGCACGTTTGATATTATATTAATTAAATGCGCGACGGGCGCGCCGTGCGCGGGAAACCATGCGTCTTTCCTCTTCCGATGATCGCGCGTTAGTCACGTTTATAATTACTATCAATTGTCTCTCTCCGTCCCTTACGATATGCAACGTCCTTACCAAATGTAGAAAATGTCGTATATATATATAATATATATATATAATTTGTATAAACGTCTTCGTCGACCTGCACTCGCGCTCGTTCGCGTCTGCTCGCGTCGGACCATTAGGAACGAATCGCGAGGCGGATTCTCGCATGCGAGATTATCCGCGACTTACACAATCACACTCCCTAAGCTATTCAACTCGTGTCTCGTGTCTCGCATTGGCAAAATTGCGGTTTCGAGAAACTCGATTAATCCTAAAATGAGAATCGCTAGTTAGTCGTGTCTAAATTAAAACACGCAATCGTACGCGGGCTTGCATTCGCCATTTCCTCTCTCTCTCTCTCTCTCTCTCTCTCTCTCTCTCTCTCTTTCTTTCTCTTTTCTCCTATGCGAAATTCTTATCCGCAATTAAACGTATTTAACGCATTCATACACCCACAGTTAATTACACGCGAAATCGCAAATTCAGGCGCGACGTGGTTCGCACCGTCGCGCGAGAAGTGCAGCCGCGCTAATTTTGCAAATTTTCATTGCGACTTCTGAACATATTCGACTGATTTTAACAGAGCTATGTACGCTTTTTCACAATTTCCGTTAAGAAAAAGTTCTATACGTGATATTTGAATTTTCTTCGCTACATTTCGCCGACATATGAAATTTTACAATTGTTATGCTCTTGAGTAATAAAAAAAGAAAAATAAAATAAAATTGCACCACATGATCAGATTTGTAGAAGAATTAACAATAATATAGATCAATATATAATTGTTAATTTTTTACGATTATCAATTTTACTGTTTTATTATGCATTTCCGCACATGTAATGATATTTATGATTTTATTGGCACGCAAAAATCATTTTTAAATCTGAATACCTTCTGGAGAACAGATGAAATCGTTAGACCACTAGTTTTAAATTAGACCATTCTCAGGCAAACACGTTATAAATTTTTTTAACACATAACTAACAGGTAAAGACTCGTTAATTTTAGATTTAAATTCTTACTTTTATACGAAGACTGTATTATGCGCGTCGATTCTTATCGAATTATCGCGCTCACATAGTGATATGTAGCTAAAATTATAAGAAACGAGTCACATATTTCCTTATAAAAGTGTACTCTTCATAAAGTATCTGCTAGCGAATTTACACGTACAACTGAACGACGATTCACGCTGATCGTGAATCGTTCGCAAAATGTCGAAAGCGAAGACGAATCCGCTTACGATTAATAACTCATACATGTTCACACACTTAGTAACATTCTTTTAAAGCTACTTAGGCGGTACTTACGTTCTCTGAACTGGCATCAAGACATTGTATCTTACAAGAATGTATTGTACAAACAGAATCAAACAATTCGCTCCCCGGAATGTTTCTCTCGCCCTCCTCCTCCGTTCGTTCCTAATTAAATCTACGCAAGTATTTAAATTAAACTAAAAAGAATATATATGTGTATATTTATATATACATATATTCTCTCTTGTTGTTACGCGAAACGTCGCCGTCATCGTCTCGGCGAGTCTGGAATGTAAAATTCAGCCTCCAAAGGGGCAGCAAGAAAGAGACTATGAGCGATCAACGAATGCCATTGCGGTTAATCGAATCGTCGATTAGCGATATGACGTTCAGCAATTATTTTAACATGAGAAATGACATTTAGTGATTGGTTGATATCATTGCATGCGTCTTCGAAATAAAATGGAGTGTAGAGCAAAATTGCTCGTGTCCCCCCCATTGGACGACAGCTTCATCTTCGAAATACTTCCCGAATACCGAGAAAAGCGTGATCGGGAATTAAAACTTGAAGGTAAAACCATCTCTGCTTATGTGCAGAGATGCATGCTATCTCGTGAGCCGTTGCGTGAGAACAATGCAGATTATTCAAACGCAACTTGCGTTAAAGGGAGCTCATAATTCTCCTCGCGTTTTTCCCTCGAACTCGCACATGGCACTCCAAGAGTTAAGCACGACTGAGCAGATATCGTCTAATACGATCTCGTGAAATCATTGTGGTACACGCAACCACACGTTTTCATTAACGGTAGTGCGTGTTCGGTATTTTAACAGAATCGGAGTTCGTCTCGGGTTGCAGCGAGCTTGGGATGGGAGTATTCGAAATTTGGCACTTGATTTTCCTAAAGAATAACGGCTGCGTTCAGACTGCGCCGAAGACATTTTGCAGTTTCGTTCTCCGTAAAATTGCCGTAACGCGGAGAGGGAAATAATTCGCTACTCGTCATTCAGACGAACAATCGACGATTCGGCCGCAAGAATCGACACGACGCGTCGCTCCCCTGTGATAGCATCGAGCATCCCGCTTCCCATTTCATTCCCACATGGAAGCGTGAATGATCAACGAACGAAAGTGACGATCGAGAGCTAATTCGATGGTCGATACGATCACGTTCGTCCACGACCACGTCCGAGCCAATCTCTCGTAATACTCTCAGTACTTAGGGCTACATGAAACTCAAATCAAAATCGGTTCGAGCGTCGGTACGCTCCGGAACTTATTCTAATTAAATGCAGTTTCTCGAGTACAAAATTCTCTAAGTGTATTGTCCTCGCAAACGTTTCGTTGCATCGAGCGATCTTCCGCTTTGTTTCACACATTTCGAGTTCGCCGCTGGAGAGGTCGATGGACGCTTTTGTTCTTGACACGTCGCTCCTCGAGGAAACGCGTGGAGTTTGAATAGGGTCCACCAATCGGTCCCGAGCGGCTCAGCCAGGAATCTTCGTGATTTCTTGCGGAATCCGCGAGATTTATCTGCCGAAGCGGGTCTTCGCGATCGAGTATCGTTTGCCTGGTAGCCAAGATCCGGCGCGCTCGGGACCGTGGCCGCGATTGTGCGAATGACGACGTGAGAAGGCGCGGTATCACAGCTTCGACGGATCATAATTCTCGAAGGACCATCTCTGTCTCGGGGCATTGGGCGAGCATTCCTCCATCACCAGTTGCTGCTTGCTCTCCGTAATCGCCAGACACTTGTCGCTGCTACCATGCCTGATGTGATTAGTCTGAAAACAGAAGTACGGGACGACCTTAGTTTTCTCTTGAGCTTCGGAGAATAGCAATTAAAAATAGCAATTTAAATCAAGGACTGAGAATTAATTTCGTAACAATATTTGCCAATTTCAAAATTCGCTCTCGTAGATTAACGAGAGAATGTTTCGAGGACGATGCATCACCTGAGGATTGTAGATCCATTGTTGATTCCCTTTACTGCCGTGGCAAGGATAGAGAATAACGTCGCTGCCGCTGTAGTCCAGGCACGACTCGTCTCGACGGATTTCGCCCGTCTTGCTGAGCATCCAGTACTGCGGCAAACAATCTCGATTAATAATATCTCTAGGAATCGCGGAACTTGCCTACGACCGGAAGAGATTTTGACAGCCGCCGCAAAGAAAAAAAGAAAAAAAAGAACAAGATTTTGCACGGACGATCAATCGGGGGAAGAGAAAATTACCTTTAATAAAAATTCACAATTAACACGTACGGGGATATTCTGCTGTTGCAAAAAAATATAAAAGAATTCGAATAAAACCTCGATAGTTAATATGTATATAAATTCCTCTCTCGATATTTTACAAAGCGCCTCGCGCCCGTATTATTGCAATCTGTCTCCGAAACAATGATATTCGCTGAATCGGGGATACGGGCAAAACGTACAAACCGCGGCAATGCAAAAACGTAAAATCGTTCGACCCACGCGTTTAATCTGTCGCATTGCGTGCTCGCGGGATGTGAAAATAAGCGTGGCGTATCCACCGTGGTGTATTATCGTGAGCGCGGCGCGACCGCGGGCGGACGCGGGATTTTCGCGGTGTTACAGGTATACCGACCCGATCGATTGCACGCGCCGCTTGTAAAATAACTTGTCCCGGGCGTTTGCGATCGTGCGCGAGCGAGCGAGCGAGCGTGTGCGACCAACAGTTATTTACCGCGGGCGATGCGCCGGTATGCACGAAGGCGGAGGCGCGCGTCAAAGCGATCCGGCGCCCGTAATGAGCGCCGGTCGGCCGATAATCGAGTCCGGTGGCCCTCGAAATTGCGCTTATCTAACCGGACGCCGCTCCGACCGTCGCTATTTGTGCAATTCCAGCTGCCTGGAATGGACAGCGGGCGCCAAGCCTCGAGCCGCGCGTGTCGCCCATGGAATATTCTTTTGTGCGATTCCGACTCGACGTGTCCGATCGTCGAAGCGAGAGGTTTAGAAATTCGTGCGGGCGTTTCAAGCGGCGAGAGTTCGTTAAAAAAAAAAAAGTTTTAAAAAAACACGAGCGACGGATAATGCGATAAATGAACAGCGCGAGGAACTTCTCGTGAATCTGCATATATTCGCGCGGTCCTAATTATCACTAATTTAATATAGCGAGCGGGCGCGGACTATGAATTGGGACTGCGGCTGTCAGAACCGTCGGGTCGACGATATAGTTGTTTTGAAGTGCTTTACAAGTATAATTAGAGGATAGTGGGTACGGGGGGGATAACGAGAAGCAAGCATTCACCGTACACATGTATCATCAAGCGTCGTTAGCCATGCACGACCCGCGTTCCATTCTGCCTGAAACTCTCACTCAAATCAGGATATATTATGTCACGTTTGTCGCGAAGTATAATGCAAGTGTGTTACGTGTTATCTAACGCACATCGCTTTGTTCCGTCTCGCATGCTTATCTCTACGCCGTAATCGCGTTACTATTCGCACACTGTGGAAGTAATCAGGAAATAAAAGAATTGGATTCGGAGAACGATCAACGGCGACGAGGAGTTTCGCGACGGATGCGTTTATCGGCGCGCATTGTGTGCACGGCAGTGGGCTTCGTAGTGAAGATTACAGCATGACAGCGATGTTTATATCATGATCCCCGAGCATGATGATAATTCTATATATACAGCAGAGAAATAGAGGGAAGAGGGAGAGAGAGAGAGAGAGAAATAGAGATATATGCATTGTAATGCTCCTGTAAACTGACCACCCGGCGACCGCAACCGGCTATCTCTCGCGATGCACTCGCCTTCCATCCGATGATACGATTATTCATCTTCCATCATCCGCGATCCACGACTGATCCCGAATCGCCGATGCGCATCCCAACGCTGCGTCGCTTTTCCCCACGTAGCACACACGGGGGTCGCGACTTTATCAGTGTCACACGGGCGACGACCGAAAGCGTAATTGCCGTGAAACCGCGGCTTAATTGCGACGGCAAACAGCTAAATTAAAGCAGCGCTTTACCGGGCTAAGCAAGCACCGTCGACTGATTGTGTTTTTGGTTGTAACCGGTCGCCACGGTTGTTAAACGCCGGCGTTTCGGTATTCGCGTATCGTATATATATGTACAAGCGTGCGTACCGCGGCGCTTGTAGGTGAAAGACCGGAAATACCTACGTACACGCATGTGTGTAGATGCGCGTTCTATTTCGTGTGTGCGGCCTTTAATAACAGACCGCGCGATCGACCGAACGAGTGCAAGAAACAAGATAAAGCGCGGATTTACGTGGTACGCTTGATTCCGCCGAGTGGCAAGCGTAAGCTTCGCTAAAAAAAAAAAATAAACGGAGGTCACTGATGAAATTACCGTCATTATTTTCCGCGCATATATTTAGCGTTGTTATCAACGCAGGCAAAAGCGATGAAAAAAAAAAGTTAAACAGTTATATACCTTTTTATTTATATATCACATTTATTTTTGCTATTTTATTGAACCGATTACCAAGCCTTCGTCTTGAGGGTTAAAGTTGCACGATAAAATATATCACACAAAAGATGAGATTTATTGCGAAAAGATGAAAAAAATAGATAGAATATTGTAAGAGCACCAAAGTGCATGCGTTTAGGCGATATTTGCACTTTGATGTTCTCACTCTTGATCGTGGATTATAGGGGGAGGGCCAAGTGTCGGTGATTAAATCTAAGCCTATACTATATCAATGTGAGAAATGATGATAACACGGTAAGAAATCGTGCCAAAAGGCGGCAATTGAGGTCATCTCACCGAGGAGCAGGAGAGACATGGATTGATGAGCACCTGCACCAGATTAGCGACGCCACTAATCGCCGTCGAAACGCAGGGCGATTAGTGCCAAGTTAGCGTGCACGCGAGCGCACATGCGTTCCAAGGATCAGCTTTTACAAGTCGCGTAGATTTACGACCCCGAAACCAGATATTACATCAGAGATACGCCCTGTCACCCATCCATCGATTAGGGAAGCTTCGATGGATTTAATATCATGAATGTACGTTAGTTACAAATTAATTTTAAATCACTCTTCAAATCATTGTTTTTTTTTTAGTGAATTTTTTAGTAAATTGCTGAAAATCAGACGGCTTTGCAAATGTACCTGATTGCCGCCTTGACGGTGGCAGGGATACATGCCCACTGGCTGATGCAGGTCTTCGGCTTTCCCTGACGAATCTATACACATTCCGCTAGTGACTTGTCGTATCTGCGTTAGAATTCAAGAGAAATACACACGGTTACTCTTGGCATGCGAAAAAAGACTCGATTATATCCAATAGAGCATCTCGTGCGAGAAACGCACGACCTTATCGTTCCTCGTCGTCTGTTCGAGAATATCCAAGCAGCCGGAAGCGCGAACACACATGGCATTGAACAAGCGCGGGTGCGATTAGGCACTCGGCCGTCATTGGGGAAATGATTATGGATCGATATCGACCGATGAGACGGAAACTCGATTTTCAAGTAATTTGGTATGTAGCTTCGATTAGCTTCGCAGTGGAATTACGGGGCGTACGCACATTTCGAAACGAACGATCCGTGCACGTTGTTTATTCACGCAGGATCATACGATAATAATTAGGCTAAATACCGGCAGTCTGCAGCGACTAATAGGCTCTGTCACTGTGCCGTGGCCGAAAGCCAAAACAATCGGTTTTCATACAGGACAATCGGAAAATTTCACGGGAACTAACTAGATGTTATTTTATAGTAGAAAAGTAAAAACGAATAGAATTAAATGAATTAAACACTGTACTGTAGAAACAAATTTTTATCGAGATAAATATTATAATACGAAAAGAATAGATCTGATAACGTATATTAAAAAGTAAAAAGCTATAAAAAACCAACAGTTCATTTAGTTGTATCATATGTGACATATATTTTCGAAATAATAATCAAATTTGCATAGTAATCGAAGTATTTTTGAAAACTATTAATGCAATTTGTAATATTAATAATTGTGTCTTCAAAGAATTTTAGATTTTAGAAATTTCTTTCGAATAGCGAATGGTTGCTCATGTCGAAATTTTTGGAACAAATATCTTTGAGCCACTCAACCAACCAAATTTTCGATTTTTGTATAATGTTAATTTATACAAATCTAGAATATTCATTTTGGCACTAATATATATGCTAATTAAAAATGACGGCTTTCTCAGGATTTTATTTGATTAATTTCATTCTATATTTGTTAACAAAATAATAGCTATTTAGTAACTTTCCGATTGTCATTTTGTATGTATTTTGAATAGCAGAATAATCGATTGCGTCTCAATACTGTAGGTATACTAAGCTATATTATACATAGTTCACCGTCACATTAAATTCTTTATTGATTTATACTCAATAATTCGATTAATAAATCAAATTAATCGAACTTTGATTACTCACAGAATTTTCTATTTCTATCATACGTATTATCAATTTTGACACCGCGGTGTAATAAAGCACGCCACTCTACAGTGGATATACTGCCGTAGCAAACATTCGATGTCTCGAAATATAGAGTCAAACACGTATGCACTTCCAAACGCCAGCGACAGCGTGGAGAACTTTTGAAGCCGTACGTAAAAATCACACCAAATTCAACAAAAATCGTGTTTCCATTTTGAACTTTGAGGACATACGACAGTTTCACACATCAAGCACGAGCAGGCATTTCACGGGGACAATGTGTTTTGTGGCCAAGGAAATTTTTCAGGCGGGTGTCTATTGTACCTGATTTCCACCCTGTCGATGACAGGGATATAGTCCGCACGGTTTGTGCAAATCGGCCTTGCGAGCGGGCGAGTCCAGACAGGTGTTACCGCCCTCGCCGAGATTTCGGACCTGTTTGTTATTGGTAATTTTTTCGGACATTAGCGTGTATCACCGTCGCACCGTTAGTAATAACCCAAGAATATATGTACATATTAATAAACAGATTACTGCGAAAGAAAGACGACGTCAACGACATGCCATTTGGACATTTCTGTTTAACATTTTTTGTCGTTTCCTCGACTTGACATTTCATCGTGGAACTTTGGAATTAAAATGAAGAATTATTCTCGATTGAATTAATTAAACGCGAATGAGTATTCAGTTCGAAATGTCAATGCAAAGTCGTTGACGCGCTCTGCTTTATTTTAAGATCGAAGTATAGAAATACACGTCGCCACATCGCTTTGGTACCTGTAAGGTAATATAATTGGATTAATAAGACCCCGTGCTATTTTTCTTTTAATCCGTGTGCCCCCGGTAACAAGCTTCGTTGGTTCGATCTCTCGCGAGAATTCGAATCTGTAACGGGGTATGAAAAGGCGAAAAAATCACGGTCCCCTCGTTGCGCAATCATCCTTTTTTTTTTATGCACAGATTCTGCGGCATGCCTGGAAAAGCGGGGACCGTGCAAACCGCGGATTGCGTTCTCCATTTTTCAAATAGACGGAAACAAATTGAAAATGAGGTCTGCTCGTATTTCGTTCGGTCCGACGCGTGTGTATTCGCGACCGAACCGTACGGTGTACGTGTGTTGCGCGCGCGCGCGCGCGTGTGTGTGTGTGTGTGTGTGTTGTGCACATGCAAGAGTCTATGTAATGTACGTGGAAACGTATGTACGTATGTGCGCGCATATGTGCCTGCGTGTAACAGCAGGTGCATTCAGTTATGGCGCTCGGTCAGCAGTCCTGATTTCGCTGCATGCAAGAATTCTGTGGTCGTTGCAGTTTCAACGTGAACATCTTTATTCCCTCCCCCTTTCCCCTCCCCATTCCCGTTCCACCCCTGTCCCTCGTCTTCATCCTCGTAGGAGTCGTCGTCGTTGTCGGCGTCCGACTCGTCGGCCGACTGGAATAAAAACTCGTGATTTATAACCGGGTATCCTGGAGGTCGATAAAATTTCCAAAGCTCCTGCTCCGCCGGCATTATTAAAGGCGGCTCGAAGGCTCTTAGTGAACTCGATGAGAAATGTGATCTGGTATTTAGACAACTTTACGATCCCAACTTAGAGCGTTGGAGTGCTCGGAGTAATGTAACACCGCGGGAAGAGTCACGTATTTCGGACAATTTCTGAATTTCATACCTCGTTATTCTATAATCCGAAGAATAAGGCGTCTCCTTCATTTTTGCCCCAGTAAATCTCTGCTTTCATCCATACGTGAGGAAAAAAAAAACATCTTATACGAACGTTAACGGCGATTTTTCAAGAATATTTCTGGAAAGATTACCTATAACAAGCGCGCCGCATGCAAAGAATATTACGCGAGTGCCTTATTAAAAATCATATCGTGGGATGTGGGATACGTCGATGCGAGAGATTGCAAGGGTTAAACAAAACCCGCTCGCCGCGTCGCGTTTTTATCATTCCACGCGGTTTTGCATAGGAAATCCATGCAGTTCGCGTAGAACGACTCAAAAATCGCGGCATACCCCCCGGAGAAATATACGCCCTCCCCGTGCACGTACGTAGAAACACGTGCATATCCGAAATTATTCACGTCGTGTACGATTTCTGGACCGTCGTAGAGCCGTGTGAACTATAAATCCGGTCATCCCTCTTCCTCCCGTACGATAGGAAGGCCGAGCGTGATTTAGCCGGTTCTCTCCGGAAGCAAATAAAAAGTAAAGGGAGAAGAGAGGGAGGCACACACAGTGAAGAGCGGCGGAGGTGAGAAATCCGGACGGAGGACAGGGTGAGAACATAAGTTTCGCTCGACGTAGGTACATTCGGAATTGTTATTTTGTGTGCGATGCGCAACAATGAAGTTCCGAAATTCGCGTCGCGTGGCACACCAGGTTATTGTGAAACTGCCGACGGCATTTCGAAAACGGCGATAACGTGGTAAAAAAATTCTGATTTTAAAATTTAAAAAACGTGGAATTTTTTAAATAAGCCGAATTATTTTGCTCGAAACACGTGCATTGTACCAGAATTACTGGTTCTATACAGACGAAAGTATTGATTATTTGAAAGCGTTACGAGTAAGTTCCGATACAATTGTCTCGCGTATCTTAGTATCAACATTTTGGAAATTATTAAAAAGCCTGAAATATAAAGATTCATATTGGATTAATAATAACCAAATAATTTACGCGAATCAAGCGATTGCAGGATCTCTGTACGTACTAAAATAAAGATGGAGCTCTACTATTCATGAATTGGACGAGAAAATCAGCTTACGCATACAAACGCGCATACTCTACTTTCCGAACAACGCGTGCTCGACAACAACTCTAGCAACAACTTAGAAGAACAAATGATTGCGTGCGGATAATCCGGGATCGGCAAAAACGATTCAGTGTTCCGGCACGCCCGCGCCGTGCAACTAAAGCAGCGAAAATTGTTATTTCGTGTGTGGCACGAACCGCATTCCAAAGTGCGCGGCCGCGTAAATGCTACTTCGCGAAAATGTCGGCCCATCTTTTATACATTCCTCCTTTTTCCGTCGCTTTTTCCGCGATGCTTCCTTTTAGTTTCCCTATTCCCGCCCGCTTCGTGAATGCCGGTGTCAGTGCGCTCGGACAGAGAAAGAAAAGAAGAGGGAGGGGAAAAAAAGAAGGAAAGAGGAAGAGAGAAATGCATTCCTTGCCTTATCCCGGGGAAAACGTGAGTGGATCGCAACAAACGACAAGGCAGGCATTGGGAATAGGAGGAAGGGAGGGATAGAAGGAAGTAAAAAGCGGCAGGGGAAAGGGGGATTGGTCGATGTAGTATTTGAGCTCCCGAACTATTTCGGATTCCGTTGCTTTTTATTATCATGTTCGATCGGAATATTGCCTTCGCATGGTGGAACGCGTGTACATACCGTGTGTCATGTCGGCACCGCCGTGAAATTGTGATTCGCGAGTACCGTGGTATGCCATGACCAGCGGCTTTTGTCTCGCGAGCAACGCGACGGACGGAGTGCCACAATTTGTGCGCGTGAATACGTGCGTGAATACGAAACACTAGGCGAACATATATCTCAATGCTAGTTCCGTTCTTCTCAACAAACATACCGTGCGCAAAATGAAACGCAATGAAATATGGAAACGCAGATCCGCCAATTTCTTAATTCCTTAATAATGTCACATATGTACCTACTGAAAATTATATAGAGAGCGAAAAAAATAGATGGTATAACCAAAGCAGAGTTTGATATTAATTTTATGTATATTTAAAATATTTCAATTTTAATTAATTTTCATTTTTATAGCGTGGAATATATGTATATTTTTTTCTAAATATATATTAAATATATATATATATATTTTTTCATGTTCTAAAAATAAGAATTAAATATTTTCCCACTTTTGTATATGACATAGAGCTAGTATTTACCTTTCGAATTATAGTTGTCGATAAATTAATCATTTTATGAATTGTCATTCTGTAAATCTTTGTCTATCGAGCCTATCGGACAAAATATTTGTCGCCAGATTAGTAGCTTTCCGTACTATTAAAAGTCAAAATATTTCCCCGATAACGGAGCAACGGGAGACGCGCGCTTGAAACTTACCCAGAATTTCCGGTACAGCGAACTTTAGTGCGCTCAGTTATCTTATACGGCGTGCGCGGAGATAGGCGCGGAGGACGAAGATGATCCTGATACGAGAAATTCAAGTGAAGTGTGAAGATAACGAGACGGGTCGGGATCGTGCACGGGCGTGAAAAAGAGACGGCCGAGGTGAGAAAGAGCGCGCACGGAGGGTAGACAGAGATAAATGAGGGTAAGGGGGATGGGCAGGAGCACGAAATATTTGAGTCGCGTGACACTGTGACGCCTGTAATGCAAGCCGAGGTTTAAACCCCCGCCGGGGAACGCTACGATTCTCTACACAGAGTTAGAAACAGGCGGGGATGGATGATAGAATGCATTATTCAATAACGCGATTAATCGACGACATGACCGAATGTCGTGTCGCGGAACACAACGAAATATCTGTGCGTAACAGAACGTTGAAATAATATATATATATATATAACGATAAAGAAAGAGATTATCAGAATTATGTAATAAATTTAACGAAATTAGATTTTATAAGGACATGGATGACGAACCGTTCGTCCATGAACAATATATCGTTGAAGGTAAATAAATTTAAATTTTATATTTTTACTGAGTTTCTGAAGTGACACGTCCTACTTGAGGTCCGTATTTTCTCTGAGAATAAAAGCTCCGAGGGAAAAAAAGGCTTTACGCTACAAGAGCGTTTTACTTTCTTCGCGACTGCGTTGAACATTGTGTTAAACACCGGTGCACCGGTTGCCAGGTTAATGCACTGTTGGCTTATGATAAAATTAAAGGAACAAAAGGAAATTGGGAGGAAAGTGAGAGAGGAAGAATGATGAAGTATGAAATATTCGTGTCGCGTGACGTTGCAATTTATCCGTCGGTGCAACGTCGTTAATACCGGTGCCTACGTACCGTGACTTTGTCACGGAGCGGCACGCTGCATGTGAAGAGAGTAACGTGTAACGATCCGCGTGGAAACGCAAGGTACACAAGCCGGGAAGTCGGATTTATCCCCTCCGACAACGTTTGCAATCATTTTGCAATTACGAATGCAGTGGAACGGCGGCGGAGTGACGCGAGGTGGCTAACGCGGTGAAAATAAATTGTGAAATAACTAACAGTCTGTACCCTGAATCGCGTACACATCGAAACGAATTGATTAATAAAACACGTCAACAATATCAGCGGCGACGAGACGCCGATAAAAGATTGATTAAACGCGCAGAAACGGTTACTGGGACTGGAAACAGCCGTGAATAAATCACGCGTGGATAAATGGCGCGGTGATATCAGTCGTGAATACATTTCTACATCTGCGACGAGAGGAGACCAGCTTTTATTACGCGCGGTACACACATTTATTATGTAACTTTTCGCTGGCATTAATAAAACAACGAACTTCTCTGCGTTCTAGTCTTCCCCTTCATTCACATACCTCACGAGCGAATGTGACGATTTGGCTCACCCGTAGAGACACGAGCAATCCCAATCGGTGACAATATCATCATGAGCAGATCCGCGACGAGATCCGACAATCATGGATTCCGCAATTATGGATGCAGCAAGACGGAATACAGCAAAAGGAGGAAGAGGAGGAGGAGGAGGAAGCGTGGGAAGGAGAGGGAGGAACAACACGACGGAAATAAATCTCCGCGTGATTGATCGTTCGCCATGAATCGCGCGCCCGGGCGATATTAATGCACTATCAGTCCTGACGGGTGCGCGCGGATGGCTCGCGTGTACCGCGCGTGTAGCTTTGACGAGTCTGTCGCTCGTCGCCTCTGCCCGATATTTATGCGCTCGTTTTTTCGCAGCAAAACGAGGGTTACGAGAAAAAAAAGCGTGGCAGACTCCGCCTGAAATTTTTCGCGCGCGTCGGAATATAACTGCGCGTTTGCTACATTCTCCTTCTTCTTCGTTCTCTCGTTCCTCTTTCCTTGTATATCGATGCGAATATGGAGCACGACAGCCGGCACAATCATGAAAGCGTAGTGTAACGGCACGGCATAGAGAACGAACTGATTCCCAATTGATTAATAAAGTCTCGCGACAGATAGATATCTTATTTATTATTTTTGCCTTCATTCAGAGACACATTTTAAAAGATTGAAGTACAATTAAAATCAATATCTTTCTTCGTGTTTTGAGAAACAAAATCAGCGCATTGATTAGAAAGAAAGATTTCTCGTTAATAAAATAATTTATGTTTCATGCTAATGTGTGGAAATATAATTACTTTTACTGATAAAAAGATAAATAAATGCCTGATTAAATTGTCTTGTATGTCTGATCATTTTCTGCTTATTTCACTTTTAATGCGATTACACTCGACTTTGATAAATTGTGTGTTTTTTTTTTTAAAGAAACATTGCGTTTAACATCAACATGAGACGAGGATCAGGTGCAATGAGGAGATGTTCGAGGAAAAATTTCTGAATCGCTTTTATAGAGAAGCGAAAGACAACTTCTTCTGTAAGAGCGTTTGCTTTGTAATCAAGTTGCACTGACAAAACCAGCCACGCTGCGTAGTCTGAGAATCCATAATACCGATCTATGGAAATCGATTTCCGATTGAATATCGGACAGGCCACCATTCGCGATCTGATCACGAGTGCCCCGACTACGATTCACATTGTTTCGCAATCAAAGCGGCATGTTTCCGGTGTCGCGAGCTCGTCAACATCGATCAACGCCCCTTACCGCTAATAGCTTTAAGCTCGAGGAAATATATGTAATTAATCGAAGAGAAAGATTTTATCGGGGCTCAAGTTTAATTTGCCGAAATTGTTTCAAATTTAAACATTTTCTATCGAAAAGCTAACTAAGAAGATATGAGGTGAAAAATATTACTTTTCATTATGTGCCAAAAATGTATCCTAGCAAATACCACGATGGAAAAGATATTCGTGGCTTATATAGAAAACAATATAAAGGGAGAATAATTCGACTCTTTTTCGGCAACTCTGTCTATCTAACTGACTACATTTCCTCTCACGAAGAGCCTTCGAATGTCGTAATCCGACACCTTGATGGATCAAAGCCACGACAATGTCGTTAAAGGAGGAACCGAGTCGTTCCCTCGTCGTTTCCGCTTTTCCTTCCTTCATTCCAGTCGGCGGTATTTCTCGAGCCGCGTAATGTCAGCAGCCGCTAAAAAAAAAAGCGTTCAAGAGGAGAATGTGGAGTAGTCTTACCTCTCCGGAGGCGACCGCCTCGCCCGGAATGAAGAGTTCCGGGTAAACGTTGTCCAGGTACCACTTGAACGACTTGCACCCCAGTTTCTTCCTTAGAGCTTTCCGCTCCGATATGTCGCCGTAGTTCCCCTACAAAAGTTCAGTGTGCAGTCGGATAATGCTTACAACAAGATGAAAATCATGCAAATATTCAAATAGAAATAAAGATTCATGAATTCATCAATAAAGAATCATAAATATAAAATGTAAAATAAGATTAAAAATACAAAGATACTGATTTAAAAATTTATAACACAAAAATTAAAATAGGAAAGATAATTAAAAAATAATTATCAATTAACAATAAATCGGGATAAAGTAAATTTATAAAACATCGGACGTTCATATTTGCTAGAAGATATTAAGAATTTTTTGCTATATTTGAAATCACACAATAAATCACAAAACAAGAGAATGATAATATGCAATCTGATCTCTTTATAATAATTATTATTTTTCTAGATAATAAAATGTTTTATCATATAGTTTTATTATATTCGTTTAACATTAGACTGTCTTGAAAACTCGTGTCTAACTCTACCATTGATGTTACTACTGCAAGCGTACCTGCGCCTAAGGATAGGGGTAAACAGAGAGCGATTTATCTCATTATATTATGAAGCCATCCATGAGGACGACATCCTCGATGGATTCGATCATTACATAGAGCGACGTGCTTACGGAAGCGATTTATTCTCTACGCTTCGATTTATCTCGCCGATTGGATCTCGGCAGGAGAGCAGGGGCGGACAAGCATCAAGGATAAATGACAGATCGTTATAGAGGGGGACGAAAGAAATGTCCTTCAGGAGAGCGAGGACATGCGCGCGAGCCTTAAGGGCACTTGGCACGTTTATGACCCTTTTTTACGACGAGTCTTGGTCTACGATCCTCTCCATCATCATCGGCCACCTTTATCGTTATCCTTCATCTCGACCAACCCATTCAGCCAATGTTTACGAGAAACTTGGATTAAAGAAACATAATCGATAGCTCACCGATGCACGCCGTGGCAAGAAACGGGATCTTTACCTCACACGATCGAAGATAATCTATCATTAATTATTTACTCTGCGACAGAGAGTGTGTGTTAAAACTCGATACAATTTCGAAAGGATTTTTTTCTAATTATGCCTGCGTCTTTATATTACAAATACGTTGCTCTATCTTTCGTTTACGCGAATATTCAATTTACATTCGATCATGTAAAATCGTCTCTCATTTTATTTTCTGATTCGAATCTATGTTGATCTACGATAACGCGCTACTTTGATTGCTCCCCCGTTGCATTTTCACAAGGGGTCGTATACGGTAGGAAAGTTATACACGCGACGATGCAAGTACTCACCTTGTCGTGACCTATCCTCTGATAGTAGTACTTGGCGTACTCGTCCAGCCACACTTCGCTCAGCCTTATGCTGTTCCTCTTGAGCACGTTCACGCCGTTGCGCCACTTGTAAGGCGAACGTTTCCTGAAGATGTGACCCACGTGCGAGCACGGCACAATTTCCAGGGTGCCTGCGAGCGCGTCGAGTTATTGGATTAACGTTGGTTTTCGTTCGATTGTACGTTCTACGTTTGTACGTTGCCAGCTAATTTAAGAATTGCGTACGTAGATGCAAAGTGCGAATGTGAAAGTAAGCAAACAAAAAATATTAAATATTATTTATAAAATATAAAATATAAAATATAAAGTATAAAATATAAATGCGCGCGGGTAATTTTTTCAAAATATAAAATAACAAAAATATAATACAAAAGAAAACAATTCGCATTTCGCATCGAGAAAATTAAAAATAGATGATAAATTTTTGTGTGTTATACTAGAAAGAGGATGCAGTGGTTTGGAACTTCAGTTTTCTAAATTACAGGGAGAACAAGAATTTTTTTTTTTTAATGTTTTACCCGTACACACGCTTACCTCCGCACATCCAGGTTTTAAATGATAATTCAAGATTCTCGCCGCCCCAGATGTCGAAGCCACTGTCGTACGTGCCGATACGTTCAAAGAAGGCTCGATCTATCGAAAAGAGGCCGCCAGCCATCGTTGGTGACCAAACGGGTTCGGCCGCGTTTTTGTGTCTCTTTTTCTCCCTCTCGGGCACCGCTTGCCAATTGAACTTGTTAACAAATGTTAATGTATATCAGAAATCCGCCCGCAAATGAGCTCTCGTGACATTCATAAATTACTACAAATTAATTTTATAAAAAATATGCAAAACCATTTCATTATAATCGAATCCCATAAAATAACTTCTAAATTACGATACATCAATTTCTTCCCCTCCGCGTAAATAATTTAATTAGTCTGCTGTCATGCTGTCGTGTACAAAAATCAATTGCATTCCGCCAAGACAGACGTATTCTCTACCGTTTCCCGATGTGTCGCAAGAGAGCGGCGTGAAGATTTCGTTTACCTGGAGATTCCAATCGAATCCACCGACATTTACACCGCTCGAGTCGCGCCAGTGGTATTCCAGGGTGGAGTCGTCTATAACATCGATCACCGGACAAACTACCGTCGTCGGATCGCGCGCGATCCGATCCAGAAGAGGTTCCAGCCAGCCCTCCGTACACTCGCAATGGCTGTCCAGATACGTGAGTACCGGAGCCTTGGCCGCCGCGGCGCCTAACAGGCGCGCCCTGATAAGGCCCTCTCGTTTATTCGCCCTGATAATTCTCACTTTCGGATAATTCATCATATAGTCCTCCAACTGACGCTTGAGATGAGCTGTGAAATGATTAGATTTTTTTTGTCATTTCGTCACCATTTAGTGCGACAAAGCATCGAAATAAACAAAATGTCGCGGTGCATAAATGTCATTAATATATAAATAAAAACATATATTTTTAATCTTATTAACTGAAACATTTCTGCATATACTTATTTATTCTACATTATATTCTCCGTTATATTGTAATTAAATAAATGCAGTATTTGTCACATCGTCCAATATTAATTTTGAATTAGTATTTTACATACTTTTCGTAGGATGTGTCGGCGTTTAATATTAAACGGTTGCGCATAATTCATGGCGTAATCTCGTAATACGTGACGCAGCGTTATTGACGGAACTTGTCGTCTTTAATATCAGGATTTGCTCGAATATTAATCTCGCGGGACCTGCGGGTTTTGTCTCAATACTGTTGTTTGCTAGACTTCTTTGCCGATTTACAATATATAAGTTGCCCGCAAGATCTATGCTTCAACGAAGGATAAATGCAACAATAAAGCCAATGTACCCGTTTCTCTAGGTTTCTCTAACGTCGATTACGTCCTTAATGTCAGATTACGGTTTATTTACGATGTCATTCGCAAGCTGTTGCGGCAACAACAATCACCCTGCCCGTCGTAGATTTATCTCCTATTTACAATCAATTTCATCGTATGCTAAATAGAAACAACAATAATCCTGTATAGTTTTCCCTATATTATACATATATATATTTTTTTTTCTTTCAACGTTGAAGAAAAAATTGTGTTATTTCCAAAAATTTTGAAAACCGCTCAGGTTATTTTGATAAAACTTGAAACATATAAAGTGTTATCAAAATAACCCGAGTGGTTTTCGAAATTTTTGGGAATAAACGAAATTTTTCTTTCAACACTTTGACACTTTGTATTTTTGAAACTAAACCGTTTCAGACATATATATATAATCATATAAATTTTTCGTCTTAAATTTGTATGAGAAATCACTCCTTAAAATCTTTCATATTACTTAGTATCCATTCTCTGTGTGTGTTATTAACATTTTATTGTCGATCTGGTAAAAAAAAGTAGCCACGATAACTGCTTATAGTTCTAATAAAGATTGTGTACGTCAGATTAATCCTTAATCCGCCATTAAAGTATCCTAACGATCGCATATAAAAAGAAGAGATAGTTTATAAACTTTATATTTGAAGACCTGTTTAGCCGGAAAATAATAGGTATAACTTCATCAAATTGCAATAAGTATAAGCTATTATTAAGCCTGATTAAGAAAAAAATTTATCGTCACAGCATTTTTTTCATTTTCTTTAATCTTTATCTCATTCAAATACACATAAATTCTGATTAAAAAAAAAAGTATGATACCGTTATTGCCACTGAAAGATCTTTAATGCCACTTGTACGGATATTTTGAGGCCCCGATCTGTTATCTCGCGTTATTTCTAACAAACGCAGGCGAGATGTAAATTTATGACATCTATCCGCCTACAGTTACAGATCGCTGGGCAGCAATTAGCAGATATTCGTGATTTATTCTCCGTTAGGATGGCTTTATGAGGGACCGTGCCACTAATCCTAAGCCTCTGCCCTGTAAGCTTGGTTAACTATGGATAGTATAATGGGATTCCACGGATCAGCGTGTTTCGTGCAAGCGCAATGATTACCGGACGAGACGCCGGCTTGATTTTATGCACCCTTTGGTCGGGCCGCGCGCCTGATGAGCTTTAATACAAAATCGTCATGCTCGACGTATTCCCGTTTCCATCCCGCTATCTCCGACTATTTCGTATCGATTCGTGAAAAGAATTTCTTCGTGCTTCGCGTCGAGAAAAATACAGGGATCGTTGTACAGGGATCTCGCAGGGGTAGTCACGAATCGAGAAAATGTTCCTCTTGAAAGTACACCGAACTTGAACGAGGCGCGCTACGTACTCTCGTTAGTCCCACTCGAACGAGAAGAGATGGACCGTAAGAGATCAGAGGTCAGACATTTAATGCACGCGCAACAGGGGTGCGCGCGCGCGCGCGCGCACGGAATCCGCGCGCATTCCAAACCGAATTAATTTCTAATGAATTCCTCGAACACACAGAGGCACGCATAAACCAGCCCTGGCCATTATTGCAGATTTCATTATGACTTTGCTGAGTGCACTATATGAGGCGTAGATAATGGAAACGCTCAAAGAGTCTGCACCAGTCTGTCGCCGTCGAGGGTGCTCATAATTAACTCTGTAATCCCCGTCGCCCAATCCCCTATATAGAACCTAATTATCGCGCGTACGTTTTGCCAAGAAGGGCTAAAGTCTACGCTGTGATATTCATTATCTATAACTTTCTTGCGGGCTTTATTAATTGTTGAATTCATTTTAATCTACTCTGCGCGTTTTGCAGGCGCGAATGAAGAGATAATTCTTTAAAATGTACTAAAAAAATTATATGATACTATAATATAATCCATATAATTGAAAGGAAATATACAGCGATAAAGCGTCAATAGTAAAAAAGTAATTATATAATAATAATAACTTCATTGCGCGCCTCTGCCAGGGTTACAAGTAAAAGTATGAATACATTTGAGTAGATGAGGTGCCAGATGTTAAGGTATTACACCCAATAGGCGGGGCAGCAACTAAGAAGCTGATTTGAAGCCGTACTCGAAATTTACAAAAATTACATAATGTTTGTATAAGCTGTACAATGATTAACGAGATAGAATATATGTAATAAAAAGAGACGTATTAACATATAGTACCGATTTCAAATGATCAGCTGATGCTAAGCAGTTCGGAAATTGATATATTACAAAATAAATTATTTGAAAAGAAACATTTGAAAAGTTGTTTAGCCTATATTTGAGTTTAAAATAATATGAGCAAAGAGCAAAAGTAGCTAGTCATAATGCAAGGTAACTTTTAAACGTGGAGAATTGAGACAGCGAGCAAATGGTAGGTGAGAGGGCATTAAAAAATTTTAATACGGTATAGGAGAAGGCTCCTTGAAATTTTGTACGATGAGGTTGTACATACGATGAATATAAAGACTCTCGTGAATTATACAGGTCGCAATCTCAAATTAAAAGCTTGTATAAATTCATTTACCGTTTGCATTTTTTAAATATCTTTGCAAAGAAGAAAACGCACGTATAAGGCTCTGTTATAATCTCCTTCTATGATAAAGTAATCAGTTGTCTGTTAATAGCACATAGAAAGCTGTCCAGGAGATCGCTGGAGCAAGTGATTATGTTTATAGGTTTAACTTCCGGCCGGGACGAGGGCTTATCGTGAGCTTTTAATAAAGATTGCAGCAACCATCCTGGCTATACTGCTTTCCCGAACCCAGCTTAATCTCAGACACCCTTTCTCTCGGGATTTTTATGTTCATCCGCCTGTATTATGCGGTAGAAATCCACGACTACCGATTACCCTTACCCATGATGATACGACGATTAAACCGAAAAGTAATATAATATTTTCAGTTCAGGACGCAAACCTTCATCTGTTTCAGAATTGATATTTTTTATCGACGGTGACGGTGTGTATTTTTTAAATATAACTAACGCTTGTAAATAGTTTATACAACTATAATTTCTTTTTTTTGCTAACAGTGTGATTCCAGTTCTACTAGTTCCGTAATTTAGATTTCGATTTAGTGGCCGTTGTATGAACGTCAGTTTATTCGAAAACATGCAACTACGTTCAAGCTATAATTGCCTTTTTGCATCCAAACAATGCGTACGGGCGTACATATTTGTTTCGTCCGCATTTGCGAAATTGCGTGCTTGATATATTTCTATATCAACTTCACGTACGTGCCTTCAGGCAAGAAACATGTATTCCGACAGATAAACACGAATAATTACAAACACAGTTTTTCAAGTTAATGTAGATATCAAAATTTGGACATATTTTTTTCGACGAAGGTGTGTGTGTGTGTAAGACTTCTCGTTGAAAGATATAAGAACAGCTTCATAAACATTTTTTCTTCTTCAAAATTTTTTCTAAAGAAAATTTGGCAACTCAAAAAATTTAAAATTTAGAAATAAAATAAAATACATATGAATCTAACTATCACAAATACTAATTTTTTTGATTGATAATTTATTTTATAATTTTTAAGATATTAATAGAAATAATATGTGGAAAGTCTTTTAGATTTTCTTTGATAAAGTGTTTTCAACTTTAGAATTGAAACAGATATATCAGTCAAAACAGAAAAATTACTACGTAATTATAGATTCACATGTACTTTATTTCTCCAAAGTTTCAGACTTTTAGAAATTTTCGGTTTGCCAAACTTTTTCCTTCTAAGTACTCCCCATACTTGTAATTTTCAGGTACAATATAGTAGCGCCGCCCACACGCCCGATTTCGGGAAACGAGAACAAGTGGGGACGTTAAACTTATAGAGAGCCGTGCAGCGCGCAGAGTTTGTATGAACCTCTCGTAATTTTCAGGGTGTCTGTAAAGCAGGCTGAGAGTTTCTCTTCTATTCACGTCGCGGCGGCACACAGTGGAGAGATGGATCGCAATTAATCGATCTATCGCGAAACTACGAAACACTGTCGCGATAACGAATCACCGCACTGAATGGAGACGCGGTTGCACGAGCAAGTACGCGAATATAATGGCTCGCGGTTTCCGTTCTCGCTTTCTGTGCTTACAAACTCTCCGCGCTGGCGTTCGAGGATTTTTCATCGCTCGGCGATGAGAGCTGCACGAGGATTTATAACGCTACGGAAACGATATGCTATTCCGCTTCGATCGCGCATAGAAGATATTTCGTTTTGAATCCAAAATACGTGTGCGGTTCCAGCGATAACGCGAGAGTATCTCGTCCACTTTTCGTTTTATTCAGAAGAAATACTTTAAATATATCACACGCTATGCGTTAAAGATACAATTTACGTACCAATTTTCTCTGATAAGCATTCGCATAAATTACTTCTCGCAATTTTCCGGTATCAAAAATAAAGTTGAAATCTGTTTTAAACCACGTATTAAGAAAAGTAAAGTCTGTTGTGCGTTTGTTATTACAAAATCAACAATTTTAAACAATTTTAGACGGTAACTTTTACTGTTATGGTAGAAAAAAAACTTACGCATGTCGGAGAAGTCATCGACCAGAATGATTTCCTGTATGAGATGCTCCGGCGATCTATCCAGCACGGAGTGCACTGTACGCAGCAACACGGACCAAGCTTCATTATGGAAGCAGATAATTACCGCTGTAGGCGGAAGGTCCGTCAAGTATCTACCAGGCTCCTTACACCTATAACAAAAAGCATGAAAACGATCGTTAAATAAACCGTTAACTCGTGCTGCAGAGAAAAATCGTTATTGCTGTAAAAATTGTATTTTCTTGCACAAATGTTACTAACATTACGAGGTAAAATCAAAATATCGTATATTGCGCTTCATGGTGAAATATAGATATTGTTCACGTTTCGCTAATAATGTTAACTTGGGATAGCGGATTGCGCGACTGTTTGCGGAACAATCACGTGCAGTGTGCATCAATACTGCGGCCGAATCGAGTTCTTGATCTGTAGACCGCAACAGGGATGATTACGGCGAAACCGATAATATGTACGAGAAGATATGTCAGGAAAATACGGTAATACGATTAAAGGGGTAGGGAATGTTCGCAAACTAAACGCCCACGAGGTGTACGCTCCTCCGAAGCTCACCGCAAAATGAATTCCAGGGATGCAGGGATTGCGACTTCCGGACCTAGTTAATGTACGAATACACACAGTTGGTCGCAGACACACCGCCGCAGTTTACGGATACGGCAAATAAAATGTGCGCTTTCTTCATACCATCGCAATATTCGCGAGAGCTCGCGCGCGTCTCTGCGCATTAACGTGTCCCCGTCAAAAATTCTATATGCGCGCCGTATTTATTCAATATTTACTCTGCTCCACTCTACTCGCGATTTCATAGTCTCGTAACGCATTTAATAACGCGAATACATTTCGCGATGCAATGGATGTCTCCGTAATTAGCTCCACTATAAATACGCATGTATTCCACCCATGAGATAATTATCATATATTAATTCAAAGTATTCGTTTGTAATTAGCGCATTATACTGCAGCCGAGAATAAGTACATTGTACACGTTACGATCGCGCGCGCGTGTTGCGTACTAATGAAGCGATTATGAGAAGTGCCATTCAATAACGGCCATTACTATGATTACCATCTGTGAATAATTTCAATTAACAGCTGCCAGCACACGCACCGCTCACGAAACGTATTGTTTGCCAAATTTCCGATTTATCCTTCCTGGTGTATCGAAGCGAATATCTACTCGTGTACGGAATCCCTTCGTAATCAGTTTCCATGTCGGATTGGAGGCGTTTGTGTCAGATAAAACGTAAAATTTAACCTAGCCACATATATTTGCACGCCTGTATTTTCTCACAGGAATATTTTCTCGTTGCAAAAACAACTTTATACAAACATAATATAAATTTCAGTCAATATGAGGGACAGTAAGAAAATGATAGGTAACATAGTTGAACAACAGATTCGTAAACAACGATGAGTCAAATCAAATAAAGAAGAAGAGAAACTTATTTCTTAAGAATAGTCAACATTTTTTAGCAGACAATGTATAAAGAGAAGCTAGAGATTACTGAAATATATTTTAAAGCTCTACAATAGAAATATAAGCGATGTAGAAAAAAATAACTGTTTTACATTTACATTTCTACAGCTGCCATATAATTTCATATTATCCGAAATAAATGCTTAATAAATTCTATATAATAATAATAGACGTGTCATATTGAATTTTACATGATGCCACGAGCATTTACGTAAAACATAATTCGTTTTTATCAATGTTTGTAATAAATTGAACTACGTTACAATTACGTAATAACATGTAAGACATGTCACATGATACGTAATTAAAATTTTTTACAGCGTGATGGGAAGCAACGTATTATAATGTTACAATAAAATACTAAAAGAGAGTCTTCTCTTATAAAAACAGAGCAATTTAATTCCTCTGTCTCAGATGACTGCTGTATCTGATCACAAATTCATCAAAGATAACGGCGCACATTATATTAAAATTAAATTAATAAAATTAGAATGAATACTGATTTAAATAAAGGTTTTATGGTGACAGAAGAAAACCAGAATCGTTTATCTCAAAGAATATGATTTGCATAATTTTAGCGCAAACAACCAATCAAATATTAATATCATTTTTAGTTTACTTTTATGACGCTTTTATTAATAGGTTATAAAGTGACCTACTGATAAACTATTTATGACAACTGTAGATACGATATAACTATACAGATATAACTGTATAGTTACAAAATATAAATAAATATGGAAATTAGAATATATATTTGCAATCGACTCAAAGATAAATATTATATTATAATTCCATAGAATGATATTTAATTTTCATTATAAATTGTATTTATATAAATTATGTAAGTTTATTTTATTATATTATAAAATATGCATATAATTTTATAAACAATTTTACATTGTTGAAATAAACATTTAACTATAGGAAATAACTTTTTTCAGATGAATTACTATTAAAAGTTAATGCAACTTGGACATGTACAATCTATTTCTAAATGTTTTAAATGAATAAAAAATATATAATACAATTCATTGATTTGCAGAATATTCAAATTTTTATAATAATAAAATGTAATATAATGTTAATTAAAAAGACTCTAGTTTATTTTGCTTTTCATGTATATTCTCTAAAATAACATTTTATCAATGTAAAATTCCTATGTTATCGTTGATTGCGTATCTGATGCACCTTAACCATACATCAGATAAGCTTTTGACTAGAAAAGCAAAAGAGGCTCGCAAATGCGGGAGCTGAATCAACGCTATTTGCATTTGCATTCCTCTCATTCCGCATTAGTTTGTGTACTCAATTTTAGCAGTAAAGCGAAGCCGGCGAAATTCTCATTTTCAAATGCGGAGCACTTGCGTTTTTAATTTCCAACATTGTCGGTAATAAATCTCGCAGTAATAACGGCTTCCACGGAGAAAATTCTGGTCGCGGTTTGTCATTATTATCGCACATAATTCTTGCAGCAATAACAGGGGTTTCTTAATCTCCTATCCTATAAGTCATTTTTAATCATGTTATGAGCAACGATACTCGTTACGTTGTACCCTTAATATAATTTTATATAATTTATATTAAAAAAATGTAATAATATATGGACTACTTGATAAATGACTTACTCGTAACTGATCCATGCAAAATTTTTCCGGCTTGTTAGAAAAAAATCCGCACATGTAAATTATTAATTCATAATGCTATAGTTGCTATTCAATTAAACAAATCTAAAATCGTAATCTTTCGTTTAAACGTTTATTATTACAACAACATTTAATTTATATAACAAAATTAATCATTTTATTAGCTAGGATGTGGGAAGAATCTATCAATGCGTATTTATGCTGCTCGCACAGCTTGAAAGTAAATCATAGCAATATCGTCACAGTCGTATTAATATCGCGAAAGCGCGCGGCCGCGAATATAAATCGCGCGCGCGGCACGGCTCGAACAAAGTGGGAAATCGCTTAAGCCAGTAAACGCATCGATCGTTTCCAGTCGATTGACGTTCAACAGCGATATCCTCTTTCCCGTCGACAAAAGAGACTCCATTGTTGAACGGCGTTCGGGATGGGTACCTCGAAATCAGCCACGGATATCGAATGAGAAGCGGCTCCTTCGCGCGTTCAGCACATTCGGCGATCACCCTTACCGCCCCTTTATCGCCCCTGCCTCGCTCGTTCCCTCCCCCCATCTCCCTGTCATCCCAATCGCCTAAACCCCGCGAGGCGTTGCACTCGATCAAACGCGTCACGTTTCATGCTGCATCCCTCCATTCGCCGGGCCCGCATTCCGGATACGTGGAATTCTATTTGCAAGTCTCTTCGCCGTAGGCGATTTTCGCCTACGGGGGATCTTGGCTTGTCTTCGTTCGCGGAAATTGAAGAAATAGGCGCGCGCGAAGTGAGTGAAAGTCAAATACCGTGCTGGAAGTGAGTGCGCGAGCACCGAGCTTCGGGGAAACGATGTTGCGCCGCGAGAAGAGAATCTAGGTATTTCTCGCGTCCAAACCCTTCCTTTGTGAGCGCAGGCTCTTATTTCCAATAAATCCTAATGAGAACATTCTTGGCGATCGCGTGACGAAGTTAAGTCAAATGTTTTGTTCAATTAAAATTCAAATGCGATAAATTATTGTGACCTTCTAGTGTTGAATCACTATTAAAAGTTAATAAGGCTTGGGAAAATACAATCTGTTTCTCGAGTTTCAAAGGAACTGAAAGCGCCTTATAATGGAATTTATTGATCAGTATATCCAAGTTTTCATCTCTCATCTCCTTTTGCCCCGATACCGCAATAAAATGCAAGGAAAACGTCTTAAAACTCGCAAGGCTATCAGAAAATGCAAAATGAGATGTACAATCTAATTTAGTTTCCCCCCGTAATTATATCTTTAAAGAAAAACTTTTACGCGGGTAGCGCTGCAAAATATCTGTTTCAGCGTTTCGCTGAAAGATAAATGAAAGTTTCGTGAAGCTAATTGCGGCTTTTACGAGCATCTTTCTTGCCTTTCAAGAATCGTTTGTCTACGGATCTTCAGATTATGTTGCAGCATCCAACGTCGACATTCCTTACAAATGTTTCCACATTTTTTTCATTTTCTTAACTGCACTTACACATGTTATTCAATCCGATAATCAATTAATTTATTTATTAGTGTAAATTATTAATATTAGCACTATAATAATCAGCGAATTAACGATATTTTGTAAGCTACGACGAATGTGATAATCCTGTGTAAAACTAATCCGAACCTCAGAAATCGTAAAGCGGAAAAATTGGATACTTGGCGATATCTCTTGTAAGTTACGCTACATTTGGCGTCCTTCGAGAGTGGCTTCGAACCTAGAGGGAGAATCTAGATATCCGCGGGGATTCTCGTCATAACCGATAGATAAGAACGCTTTTCTTGTACGAGATTATAGGACCATCCGGGGGAAATAGATCCACATTTTTGAAAAACGACGTAGATAGTTCGAAATAGCCGGCGCGATAAAAATGCACGAGCCACGTAAACTCCAATCCCGAATGATTTTTCATCGTTACGAAGATAGCGCAATGTTTCTTATCAAAAATGCGTGTGCATCCACACATGCACACATGTACTCTCTCATATATGTATAGAGAAGGAAAGATTTTCTCGTTATTGCACAGATT